ACAGAAGAACAGACCCTGTCAATACTTTGTTGATAATACGCATGACAAATTAACAATCTTCCAATAAATTAAATTTCAAACAGTTTGGCCTTGACTTGGCAAACTGTCCAGTATCTACATAGGTACATGGCTGAGAAGTATTCTAGAGTCAGAAAGTTCTTGGCAGCAGGGCCTGCACTCACAGACAAAATGCAAGAAATCACAACAGTATTGATGCCACAAATGTCAGGTTCTTCAGAACAGCACCGCATCCATTGGTAGCAGTGTTGCTCAAGGCTAGAAATAAGTACCGAGAAAGCCCTTTATCACACTTGACAAAAAAGTGCATTGTGATAGCCATACACAATGACTAAGATCCAGCCTACAGAACTCTAACCACAGCTACAAGATGCTCAGAAGAGCTACAAGCTCTGCACCCAGGACAGCATGTCCAAATATTTTGTAGTCTGAAAGCTCCTCCTAGCTGTGAGACCATCTGACATTGTTCAGCTCAGAAGTTATTTGTTATAATACTACCAACTTTAGAGTTACTTTTTCCACTGGCTTAAGTACATCACCATCCTACATAAGAGCATCAAGGCCTTTTGTGGAACAAAAGCTTCCTCAGGGTTTCTCAGGATCATATTCTTACTGCTTCTTTAGAGTTGGCCAAATCAAAGGAGCAGCTTCGGACACCCCATCCTGTTACAGACTAGCTTTGCTCAATGTGTCGTAACCGGAGACTGAAAAAAACCTTTGTTCACTGATTATTTTGCTTTTTCACATCCTCAAAAGTGCCTGTAAGTAGCACACTTATACCTTTGGGATGAGTCAGTGAACACAGATTCCTGGTTCCTTTTTCAGGCTCTGCCACAGACTCATACTGAGACTTTTGGAAATACATGTCATGTGCTTCAGCCTACTGTATATAAAATTGTAAGACACAAATGCAAAGCACAATGAGCTCCCTGACAGAAAGATGACAGACAAATTATTCATTTACTTATTATTCACGTACTTCACTGTTTATTTTTAGATAAATTGCTCATTTTACTGTCACACGCACACAAAAAAGTCTTCACACTAGCGAACGCTAGAAAGCTAAATAAGTCACAATACAGGAATTAAACAGGTTCATTTGTCACACACAACCACAGAATTGTGTCTTATTTGACTACAAGACCTTTGTAACCGTGATAAGATGTACATGTAAGAGTAAATAAGAGGAGCTAAAGAGTGACAAAAATCCCAAGGAAATATTTATTCACTTAGAACTCCCCTGTTACCAAGGAAAAGACAAATAGACTCTAATGAACCTAACTGTAACCTTGAGATGCAGATTAATTTACCTTCAATGCTCTGCAATTGCAACATGAGTTTTCCCAGGAGCAACCGAAAGAAACTTCTTTTGGAATGCCAACTCAAGCACGTTGGTAACCAACCGCGCAGGACACCCCGGAATGCGGAAACGGCGCCAGCCAGAGGAACGCCTGGCCTTACAAAGCGCTCCCGGCAGAGGGCACACGGTCCCCATCCCTCTCGCTGCCCTGGGAAGCAGCGCTCTCCTAACCCCTGGGAAACTGGAATTGGAAAGCTGGACTCTCTTTTGGCTGCAGCAGAAAATCTGGGAGCGGTGGGCGCTTTCAAAGGGCTGTGCATAAGTTTTTTAAATTTCTATAGAGTTCTGAGCCTGAACACTCATTTCTATTAAAAAAGAAAAAAAGAAAAAAAGAAAGAAAAAAAAAGGACAGTGCTCAAAAAATAAAAGCAGTATACAGAAATTAAAGCTATGCACTGATATTCTAGGCTTAGCAACAAGAAAGTATTTTGAATAGTCTCAAGGACACATATGGATGGGTGATAGGAGTAACAAAAACCGATGGGAAATTAAGCCAGAATATCAGGAAACACATCCCAGGAATGTGCTCCTCTCTTCAGATTAAGCCCCATCACTGGAGCCTTTCAAAGCTAGAGTATAGAGAAATACCCATTGTAGGAACATACCTGCATTAAGCAGGGGCAAAACCAGGTGGAAAGGGTACTTTTTTGTTCTCTCATTTTGAGTCAAATGTAAAGGGAAGCACATGTAGCAGTTAAAATTGCTCACATACAAATATCATGCACCCACAGATTAAAATGTCACAGAACAAACTCATTTTGGGTGGCAACCCTGCCCGTGGTGAGGGGTTGAACCTAAATGATCTTTAAGGTCCCTTCCAACCCAAACCATTCTAGGATTACAAATACATTATACCACAAGGAGTTAATAATAGGCTGGAGAAGGAACAATTTTCCTCTGGCTTGATTCAACACACTTGCATTATTCATCACATTTGTGAAGGAATATGAATCCCATCAAATAATTAGATGGTGTGTTAACCTTCCTGGTTTGCAGCAGCCTGTGACTGACAAGTAGAAGGGTTCTCCAAGAGCAATTTCCTGTGCTGTCGCTCCTTTCTGCCTGGACTCTCAATGAAGGGTGCATTTTGTGTGTTTGTATAGGGAATCCCTGTGGAGTTTTTGTTGAGCTTTAGGTCAAAAGCCTCTGAATTTAACTTTAAATTGGGGAACTAATTAAATATTTGTTCCAGTATCTATTACCAGTACTACAATACTGGTCCTCTTCTAGTACTGTAATTAAAAAAAAAAAAAAAGCCACCCTCTTACATCAGTTTCGATTAGAGTAAGATGTGAAGGTGAAGCCTAGTGTGGTTTTCTCCTGCCTTAATTCCCCCCAGCACAGACTACCTGGATCATCAGCCCGGTTGATGGTCAAGTTCAAAGTATTTGTAGTAGAAAAAAAACAAAACCAAAAACAAACCAGAGGTCCTGTCTGGTGTTGTTCTGAAAATTGTGATATAAAAATCATAGGATTTGTAGCATTTACAATTTGCCTGAACTGACAGACTCTGAGAACTCTCAAAATTTCTTATTGGCTTTAAGGTTTCCAAGTAAGTCAAGGAAGATACAAAGCAGACTGAGGCTAAATGAATCCTTAAATTCTGCTGACGAATAGGATGTCATGAACCACCAGTGGAAAAAGCTGGTAGAAACTCATAGCATAAATTAGTTCAGGAAGTTCTGTTCTAATTCAGTCAAGAACTGATGAGGGAATCTAGGTCAAACAAGGCAACTGCAGTTGTTTGTCATAGCTTTAAAGATCGTTAAATTCTAGGGGCCTTACCTGTGCTACTTCATTTTCTTCAAAACTTATACTTCACTGTGATGAGTCCATCCCAGGATGCAGCTGCATTTTCAGCATGTTCCTTATACAGTGGCTCACACAAGTTGAAACTCATCCTAGAAATAGCAGGCTTGCTAGGGGATTTTCAAACTGTTTACCAAATTAGGATAAAAACACTGATCGAAGCATAGATAATGCAGCATAGCTGATTACTTTCAGTCAATGTATGGATAAGTGCAGCTAAAAAGAGTCAAAAGCAGAAGAAATTAAAGGCAGTGAATACTTCTACAATGAAGCATATTCAGTGTCAGTGTATATACACAGTGTCAATGGAGGAATGCATGTACTTCACACCATCTATAACACTGCTGCTGCTTTTGAGAACACACGCAGGATCACTCTCGAGGAGAAAAGACAACGCAGAAAGAATCGCGTCTTGTCGATATCACCTGGGGAGTCTTTCTGCTGTACGTTCTGCAACCGGACTTGTCTATCTCGCATTGGCCTTTTTAGCCATCAGCGCGCTTGTAGCAAGCGTGGGTAGAGCCCCTCTCAAATCTTCATTCGCCAAGCCTAGCCATGATGATATACACAGTGTCAATGGAGGAATGCATGTACTTCTAGAGAGAAATAAACAATGGGAACAAACGCTGCTCTTAATGAAACTGGAGTGAGTGTGACGTTCCCTACCCAGCTGGCACGACTCCGGATTTTTCTGGTACCGCCAAAGGCAGAATCAGGCTCATTTACTTGGTATTTAGCAACACCTGACTGTGGAGCATGAGCCAGAGAACAACTATGGCTTGCTGCTTTGAGATTTTTCTGAAGAAACAGCTGGGATAACTGAGTCCCTTCTCCAAAGCTGTCCCGGGAAGCACTAACTGTGTGTCAGAACTAAGTAATCCAGCGAGCAGGGCAAGAGCTGCGCCCCCGTCCCTATGCTGCCCTTGTCCAGGTGGTGCTCGGTCACAGGTTGAACTCCGTGATCCCAGAGGTCTTTTCCAACCTAACTGATCCCGGGATTTTTGAAGAGCCTGAGGCTGCCCTAACACACAGCAATCCTCCAAATCGCCAGGATGAAGGATCATATAGCAGCTTGTCAAGCTCGGGTGTAGCGGGGCGGCTTTTTAGTGGAAATGGAAACAGCCTGCTCGCAGCTCCCAAGATCCGGGGGCGATGCTCGGGGAGCATCCCTGACAGGACTTCGGCTCGGGAGAAGCGCCCTGAGAGGCAGCGCAGCTCGACCCAAACGCTTGGAAGCGTGCTGCTTTCCTCAGGGAACATGTCCCTCGCGCTTGGCAGGGAGGGCAGTCCCAGGGAGCCTTTCCCGGGGCGGCTCCGCCAAGGGCAGCCCCGCCCCGCCCCGCCTGCCCAGCTCCTGCCCACAGCCAAGATGGCGGCGGGGGAGACGCGGCGGGCGCGCAGCCGCCTTGCCCTGCCCTGCCGCGCGCGCCTCCGTGGCTGGCGGCGGGCGCGGCCACGTGACGCGTTCAAGCGCGCCGCGCGAGCCCCGCGCGCAGGGGAGGGCAGGGCCGGGAGCGCGCGGGCCATCAGGTGACCCCCGGCGGCGGCGCGCGCCCCTCACCGGGACAGGGACAGGGACACGGGGACAGGGACACGGGCGGGGAGCCCGGGAACCCGGGAGGGAGTGGGGCTCAGCCGCGGCGTTGGCAGCGGGGGGCGGCCCGGGCGGCCGGGCAGGGTGACGCGCAGACCCTGCGGTGCGGGGACGGACCCGCGGTGCGTGGGGCGCGGCGCGGGGGGCTCGGTCCGCGCTCCGCGGGTGTCGGGCACGCCGCGGCCTCGCTGTCCAGCCCCGCCGAGGGAAGCCTCGCCTGGCCCCGGGGCTGCTCGGCCGGCGTGGCCGCTCCAGGGGCAGCAGCCGTTCGTCCCACCCCGCGTGGGGCTCTTGGGGCTCCGGCCGTGGGGACACGCCACGCCACGGGCACCCAGCAGCGCTCTCTGGGCTGTCTCGTTAAAGTCTTGAGAAACAGCTCCTGTTTCGTTCGCCACGGTGATGAGGCCACCAGTACCTTGGGAATATTGGAGTGATGTTGCAGGGACCGCTGCTGGCCTTGCTATAGAAACTGTAGATGGTGAAGAACATCTCGATATGTCAGTGAATTTGAAGGCTGATAGGCACACTATTCTCACAACCCAGTTAGCCTTCCACAGGGTACATTTTATTCCAAAAAAAAAAAACAAAGCTGTACCATATGCATTAGAGGAAACGGTCACAAGTGACATAAAGATACCAGAATACAGAATGATCCTGTTGTTCTCCTGCTCCACTTAATTCAGCTGTCTTTTCCCATAAAGGGCTTCTTCATTCATGGCTTGGGCCAGGCACTCATAGGATGGACCATCGACTCTCCTGCAGGCATTGAAGTGACTTCACGAACACTGGCTGTGAGCCAAGGTCGTCACACAGGTGGCACATCTTCTCAGGTAAGGGCTCCGTGTCTGGAGCACCCCAGTGCAGCAAGATCTGGAGGGAAGAGTCTGGCCACTAGCATTACTATTACTGTAATTTACCAGGGCTGAGTTCTCAACAAAAGCCTTATTTTCATTTTAGAGCATTAAGCAGTTAATTGTGTTAACAAGCACAGTGACCTCAGCCTGCTTTCCCGTAGCAACCACACTGTGAAAGTCCTTTCAGAGACTTCATTAGCAAGACAAACAAAAAATGGAAGCAGTGAAATTATGTCTGTAAGGTGTTACTTAGCCTGGAAAGTTTTCTTTTAGGCCAGCAAAGTTAGAGGAGGTAAATAGTTTAGTGGAGTGTAGGCATGGCTAGTTCTCTGTCCTGCTGATCTGGCTTTTGAGAAGTGTCCTCTGAGGCTGTATGTCACAGGCTACCCTGAGAGGGCCTCATATCCCAGAGAAACACACTTCCCCAAGCACAGACACACTGAGCAGCATAAGACATGCCTTGTGCTTTCTCAAAACAAGTTTTCAGAGAGCATAGTGAACCATCCCAGTGCCATTACTCACTCATTTAAGAATAATCACTGACACTTGGGCTAAATGAACCTTCTCAAGGTGTTTTAATCAATCCCTCTGCCAGCTCAGATTTACCTAAACTTTTTCTAACCTGTTCTGAGAAATATCCAAGGCATATAACACCCATCTCCTTCCACTTGCAGAAACCTTTAGTCATTGGTAGGCAAATTAATGATCTCATAAAAGTTGATATACATCCAAATGGCAGCTCCTCTTAGTTCAGAAACATTTTCCTAAATGGCTCTCCTCAAGTCTGTCTTGTTATTACGAAGTCCAAGGCATAAGCAGTTGTTCCCATCACATTGACTATTTGAGAATTGTTACTGAAACTTGAGTTAAAAGAGCCATCCAAAATGATCTAGCTGTATGCAAACATTTCAGATTTTCACCCTTTTTGAGGAAGGTAGATTTGTACAATTGTAAGCCAACTTTTCTTGAATATAGCATAAGTAATTTTATGCAGCAGAAGGATAATGGTACTTTTTAAAGAAATATTATTCCTACATCTCTTTTATCAAAAAAACCCCAACATTTGACAGTAACATGTTAGGAAGGAGAATGCAAAGGTGATGGGGATTGCTAGGTTCTTGAGATTTGACAGTAGTGTGGGAAACTGTTCAGCTGCTGGTCAATGCATCTAGCACAGAAAATGAATAATTTTCACATTCACATGTTGAGAACTGATACCACTTTTCTCTGCCTGAGGTGAAGAAATACATATGCCACACAATGTTATGTGGATTAAGTAAGCAGTCCTGATATTTCAAACTAAGCCTGTCTTAATGAGATGACACACAGTGCTCCACTGCTCATTCTTCAGTAGTAAACCTCAGTGTTTAAAGACTGTCAGAAAAATAAGAGGGATTTCCAAGACCTGAAGGTCTCTTATTCTGACAGTGCAAAACTGTGAGGCTGTAGCTGTGAAGAGCAAGAGAAGTATCATTTCTTTCTTGCACACTTTTAAAAATAGATTCTGTGCAACATGTTACACAGAGCCCACATTATAACAAGAAAAATTGCAGAAGGACTTTCATAGGTACCTTTGAATCAGCTGACAACTACTGTAGTGATCTTAAAATCCACACTGCAATTACAGCTGGAAGTTTAAAACTATGGTAACATCTTTTCAGGAAGATTGAGCTCTCAGGAAACTGATTTCTCTTGCCTTTGGGTTTTAGATCAATTTGTGCGTTGTAAATCACTCCCACACAAACTGGGCACATAGGATAAGCTCTTCTACTGAATCTCCACCTTAACTATTGCAGGTCACCACTAGAAAAAGTGTGTCATTTGAAGGTATAATGCATAAGGTGTTTCGGTGTCCTGAATTATGTAATTCTAAACTTGTCTGAGTGCCGTGGGGTGGTTTTGTTTATATTCTGCTAGCTCTGAAAGCCTCCTCTCAGAAAATGCCAAACCTTTTTTGATTCCCATGGGAACATGAGAATTGTCTGTCAGAAGCCACACGACTGCTCCACAAGTTCTGTGTCAAACAGACCTGGTCATGTCCTAGTGTGGTTGAAATGAGGGAGCTGCACCACTGGGAGCATGTTGATCTTTGGAAGCTCTCTGGCCAATGACCACATCAGTTTCTCTGTATGCAGGGCCAGTTCTTCCTCAGAAGAACTCAGTGCTTATACCAGGAGTTTGTCCACCCAACACCTTTGTAGACCCCAGTGGGAAGGAATGGCTAAGGAACAGCTTTTCTCCATCCAATTCAGTCCAGGCTCAGTACTGATAGCTGAAGGAGGGCTGTGGGCAGCCCCTTTCTGCCATGGCTTCTGTAGGAGCTCTGTGATTTTTAGAACTCCCCTGAGTTTTGGCTTATCAAGTGCCCCTTGTTGTAGCTGCAACAACTGTAGAATGGCTCATTTACCAAGCATAACAACGGGCTCCTGTTTGGGCAGGATTCCACTGGCAGTCTGTGCCTGACCTGGAGACCTTTGATATTTTGGCTGGCAGACTAGTCATCTGTGCCCTGCTTGGTATTTTCCTGTAAAATATGCTCTAGGTTGTCCTTTCTTTAGGAGACATTACTTTTCCTCCCACTCGTTCCTGAGTCAAGTCCAAGCATTGCTGCAAATGCTTTTAGCTGGAAGGTCCACCCCTTTCTGTAGTGAGAATGCAAATCCACTACCCATTGCTTCCTCACCAGACAACGCAGTGTTCCAGCTCAGAAGGTGTCCAGCTCCTACAGCTGGACACATCTGCATTTCCAGCTTTGCTTCCCAGAGGTGACATTTTAAATTTACAGTAGAGCTGCATTCCTGCAGCTTCAACACAGTCAGGAGAGGCCCAAGATATTGGGCTGCTTTGGGCTGGTATTTCCAGCGGATCCTCATACTGCTGTTTTTTATGGATGTTTTTGCCTGCTGTTACCCAGAGATGACGAGACATTGGAGGCATCTGTGAATTGTTCTGATCAGAAGAGCACATTTGCCTATACTGTACCTGCATTTTGATCTTGACATTTTGCCTTTAAAATCACATGGAGTTTTCTTTTTCCTCCTCTTTTTTAGAGAAAAAGGTTTAGAGAGACATGGAGCTTGAAAGAATCATTCGAGACACACTGACACGCTTCATCCAGTCCCACATCCCCGCAGCAGATCTCAGGTATGTTGAGATAGGCAGATCCAATATCATTGTTCTAGCTTGAACTCTATTAATTGTCCCTCTGTGCATTATATTGAACTCTGTAGCTTTCCCATACTTTTTGTTGCTTTTCTTTAAGCCACATCCAGGATGCAAGTAATTTGCACTGGCTCTGAGAGGAATGCTTGAACAGCTATAGTTTAGCATTGCAATCTAGCAATGTCATTCCTTTGATGATCGAGATGATTAATTTCCTGTCCAGTAATACCCATTAGAATATGAAATTTCCTTCATTCCACAGTGCTCCCAAAGGGCTTTCTGAGCAGGATAATGCTATGTCAGAGCTCTCCTGTTTTGAACTGTGCCTGCATGCAGAGATACAGCTGCCTTGAGGCTAGAACACAGCAGCTGGTTTTGCAGCTGGTGCCAGTAGTGACACAAGGGTGGAGAGCAGCAAGCAGAGAACACTGCATCCCACAGAAAGTGTAGCTTGACAGAATATGATGACCTCACCTGAAACGCCAGTCAGCATAGTCAGTCAGTCAGGGGTTTGAGCACTTGGAATATTTTGGTTAGCTCAGCTGAAGCACCTACAGGAGCCTCTGGGCACACTGGGGCTTTCATTCAGTGCTGCCCAGGAGGCAGGACTGCAGGCAGTATTTTATCTGTTAATGCTTCCCACTCAACCACTGACCAGCTGCTGCCTGGCTTTACTGGTGGTATGTGCCTATAAGACACACTCCACATAGGTCCTTCTGCTGCCATATTAAACAGACACAAAGTTAGGGGGAATGGGGATGTAGAGAGAAAAAAAAACCTGGGCCTCCTTTTGACCCTGCTACCATGTCCTGTCTTCTCTCTGTCTCCAGTGGGATGGATGATGTTTTCTTCTCCTATATCACGGGTGTCCTGGAAGAGCTGGGCTCACCAGAGTCCTCTGAGGAGATTTTTGACATGGACGCCTTTGTGGAAATGATGGAGGCATATATCCCTGGATTTGCAGAAATCCACAGGTATGTAATTGTTGCTGCTTTTTATGTGCATGCCATGCGCTCGGGGCCTGGACCCAGGCCCCTCAGTACCGTAAATTCTTTTGTTGTACCCAGCTGAAGATGTATTAGTACCAAACCTGTGCAATTAAGTCAGTCTTTGCCTGAATACACAGATGCTAATCCCAGTATAGTTTGCAAGTACGTCCTTGGCCATCTGAAATACCAGTTGATTTTATTGGGCTTCTCATCAAGCCTTGTCTTTCTATAAAAAGGTCGCCAAGTAGGATAGGCTAGCGCTTTTATTCCTCACATTAATAATACAGCTTCTGTTTCCTGCAGTGGGGATGTTTGTGAAATGATGTTCTCCCTCTCAGAAAGGCTTGGCGAAGCTCGCAACAAAGGTGAGTTACACAAACTATTTCAGCACAAGAAGGAATATTCTGTGCATGTTTTCAGTCTTCATATTTGGAGTTGAGCAATGTCACAGGATAAAATACAATCTTGTTTGCCACATAAGGTAGCCTGAATTGATTGACAGGGGTTTTTTTCAGTGTTCAGTCAGGTTTTGGATATCAACACATGGGAGGTTGGAGTCATATGGAATACTGTCCAAGACATACTGGAGTGAAAAACACAAGATCTGTTCTCCACATACCTCTGTTGAGATCAAATCCAGAGTAACAAGGAAGAAATAGCAGACACAGGGCTGCTTGTTGAAATTCTGCTGTAGGTTAATTCAGAAAGTGAGGATTTTTGCCTGCCTCTGATACGCATCTAAGTGGCACTACCACTGAGCAGCCTTTATCAGGTGCATCGTCAGATAGAGTATCCAGCTGAATACATGTATCACATCTAGGCTTAGCATCCTCAAAGCTCACTTCCCATTCATCCATGGACCCTGGCACAGATGCTAAATGAGTGATGTGCTCTGTCCTGCCCTAGACTACACTATGCTAATGGCCCTTTCTAACCTCAGCATTCACAGATCAGCTGGACTGCTCTATCAATCAGCCCCACAGGTACTTCCCACTAAAGAACAGACAGGTTGAAGTGTCTAGATATTAAACTTCCCAGGACATACAAATCTGGGTTTTGCTTGTCTTGTAACATCTATGCCGTCTTGCCAGAAGGCTACACAGTGTAGAACAGACAGTCCTGTCTTTTATCTTACTTGCTGCTTTCTTGAACTTGACAAAATCTACTGCTCTGCTCTGGTGTCCTGCATCCTACCCTTTGAGGATCCTGATGTAGCCAGAGCATGGAAGGAAAGCACTATTCCAGTCTTAGATAGGGCAGAGAAAAGGTGAGATGATTCTTCTTGCAGTGGCAAAAAAACAGCCTGTAAAAGAGAGGCATTAGAGTAACCTGATAACAGGATCTGCTGGCTTACATGCAGTCTGGGGACTACCACAGTGTATTGCCGAATTTAAAATCAAAACCACACCTTATTTCAAAGATAGAGCAAACACCAGGGAATTCTTAGAAAAGTAAGAAAAATACCTTAAGTATCCACAACCAAAGCACTAGAGAACCAAGAACAGAAAGGCAGAATTGAATTTGCAAGCAGCCCATGCCCTGTACAGCCTGGAAATGCAGAACTCAGGCACTGCAGGACGTGCTCGCTCTGCCTTCCTGCAGGTCACTGTGAGCAGAGCTGCAGCTGTCCCAGCTGAGGACAGAAGGAAGAGTAGTACTTCCAAGTCTTGTCACTTAAGAGATTTGCTTTGGCACATGATGCAGTAGCAATCTAATGCCAACAGAAAGCACAAAGCTCTAGCCTTAGTGGGACTGTACCTCAGGAGATATCACTGTGTCTTTAAGAAAAACCTGGCCAAAAGGCTGTGGAAAGCAGGAATGAAGCACCCTCTGAAGACCTCACCAAGGGCCAGGAGCCTGGAGCTGGAGCCTGCAACGGGGAAAGGCTGTGCACTGTAACAGACGGAGCCAGGGCCCAGGTATGAGTACCCTGCAGAGGAGCAGGAACACTTGGGACAATCACAGAGCACTAGGCTACTAGCACCACCTGAGGGCATTTTCCAGCTCTGGAAGCAACCACAGCATAGGCTGTGACACAGCATCACTGTGTCTGTGATCTCCTGATTGTATGGCCTGAACAAGACTGTGTCAGAAAATTATGTGCTGACAGAAGACTATGAGCCAATGCTCTAGCTCATTCTTTCCAGCAGCTGGAAAGGATGAGCCAGAGCAATGGCACTGAGAGCCTGTCCCAGCGCCCTCAGAGATCCCACAGCAGCCACAGCACTGTAACACCTGCCGTATATCCCCCACCTCCCCCCTCTATGCTCTGTTTGCTCTTTCTCCAGTACTGATCTATTTCTGCTCTGCAGCATAATCATTCTGTATCCACAGCTTTCTAGCAAATGCTGCTATGGTGATTCCTTCTGCTGTAGCCTCAGGTCAGTGTTTAGCAGCCCCTTCCCTTTCTGATCAAAGCACACACAACTTCACAAGGTGTGCAGGAGTTCAGGCATTCGCACCACAGTGTCCAGAAAGCTCACTCCTAAGGAGACACATAGCATGGCCACACAGATGAGTCAGTCCACAGCAGCCCTACTTGAAAGTAAGTTGAAACACAGAGGGAAAAGATTAAGGAAGAGTAATGGTTTGTGTTTCCAAGGATACAGTTTCCTGTTAGCTTCAGGAATGGGATTTAGCAACATTTGTAAGGAGAGAGAGCCTCCGGCAAAAGGCAAGCTCAGTTTCCTGACAGTGAAAAACCAGAGACCCTGGCCCTCTCCTCACTGCATCCTCAACTTACCGCTGTCTCTTGCTCCAACTAGGAAGGCGATGACTTGAAGGATGGGTTGGAGCTGCTACTGGAGATGTTCCCAGCCTGTACCGTGAGCCAGGCAGAGAAGGCTCTTGCCATGGCCTTGGGGAACTTGGAGGAGGCAGTGCAATTAATTGTGGAGGAGAAGGTGGAAACGGGCCCGGCAGGTGTGAGTGTGAAGGTACTGTACTCTGACTGGGTGGCAGGGGGCCAAGGAGCAGAGCAGAGCTCAGGGACACACAGGCATCACAGCTGTCTGCTACAAGCAGAAGCTCTGACTGCACAATGAGCCAGGAGGATCACCCAGAATAACAGCCCCTCTCCCTCCCCGGGCTCTTAGTATTAGGCTGTGCCCACAACCGAGCCAGCAGCCCAGTGGAGGTGTGGCTGGCACTCCTTTCCTGCAGGGGCTGGAGTGCTCCATCAGCAGCTGGGCTCACCAAGCTAGCAGGGGCAAACTGTACACTCCACATATTGTGCTGTTCATTCACCCACCTTGTCTCCTCCCAGGAACTGGCACGGCCCCGCAGAACACCCAACCACGAGGAACTAAAACAGGTTATCCTGCAGAAGTAAGTACCCAACAGCAAAGAACCCCTAATTTTGCAGGAGGAGGTGGCAGTTTGGGGAACAATGTGGTCTATAAAGAACTTGGGCTGCAAGATGCTTAGTAAGGAGGCTGTGAAGCAGATTTGGGTATAGCTGAACACATCTAAGCACAAATATAGTCATCATCTGGAGTGGAAAAAAACAACAACAAAAACCAAACAAAAAAAACCCAAACAAAACCCCACAACAGCTGAAAAACCCAAACAGGTTTGGTTTTTTTTAGAGCTCTGGTACAGAAACAAGTCACCTGTACCAGCTGGGTCACAGCACTGGCTGTGTGTGAGGTTTCAGCCTCCTGCAGATAAAGTGTAAATCACAGTACTGTTGGCTGAGGTCCTGGTTAACGTTTCAAGGCACAAACATCATGCTGCAGCTCAGGTAACAAACACATGGTGATTTGTAGAACTACAGCAACTCATTCATACCTCAATCCTTGGAGACAGTCCAAACAAGGCTAAAGATATCTTTAAGAGGCTGTCTGTACAACAACACTGAGAAGATTAAATCTCAGTTGCTGAAGGTGAAAAATCAGTGTATTGAAAGAAACCTCACTGAAGGCCCCCTATGAGCTTCTTGACAGTGAAAGTATCTTTAGATTCGTTTACCTGTATTTATTTCTAAAAGCATTTAATTCTCAATAAGAGAAACTGTGGTTTCATCGATCTGCTTTAAGATTTCAGCTTTCATGAGCAGGCAGCTTCCACACATCTATCCAGCCACATCTTTTCCACCACTTTACATTCTCCCCAGTGACAGAATAACCAGTCGATGGGCTAGGAAGGATAAAGCAAGGCAGAACAGCATCCAGGCAGAAGTAGCAATCTCTGTCCTTGCCCACCTCCTGTCCAGGCTCATATCAGAATGCCAGGTAAGGGAACAAAAAAGCACCAGCTGCTTATGTTTCTGAGAACTTCAGTTTAATGACATTTTGGCAACATCCTGTACTTTAAACATCACTCAAGCACAGGTACAGAGAGCAGATCGCCATAGCTGAAGATAACACATGAGCAACTATACTAACTACTGAGGGAGCAGTCATGGTCAGCTGTGCTAAACCAGCACCAAAATCTCAGAGAGTAGCAACTCAGCAGTACAGCAAGCAAATGCTTGGACCCTGATGTTTCAGTCACATAGGAAATGAGGTGATGCTTTTATGAAGTTGCTTCCAGCAAAGGCCTGTTTCATAGTCAAGTAGTAGATGGAGTGTGAAAGAAACACCATCGTTCAGGGCAGAAGCAGAGAGACTGGTCCTCTAATCTCATCTGTCTCCTTTGGCTGCCATCACTTGGACTGAGGAGGAGCAAAGCTGCCCTAATGGGAGAGCACACCTGACCTCAGCACCTCTCTCAGTTCTGCAGTGGCTATCAGCATTCTCAACCACCTGAGTTTTCAATACTTTTCACATATAGCCAAGGATGCTACTCCAAGAGAATCCTGCAGGATTCTCACCAGAAGGATGACACTTCTTGCCCATTTCATCTAGAGGGGAACATCAAGTGCTCTTTGCTGCAGTCTAGTCACATAGGACACATTGCACAGCCACAAACCAGCCCGGGGAGAAGGGACATAGGCTGAGAGTAGTCCCAGGCAATGTAACTGTTCACTAAATGCTTCTTGTGTGCAATGCTGCTTTCAGATACATGATGGTGGATAGTGCAGATGATCAGAAAACACATCGGCCAGCTCCACCTAAAGAGGTAAGCACAGCAGTCCCAGCTCACCAGCGGTTTGAATGTCCTTTGTTACAAAGTTTAAAAAATCAGGATGCAAGTCCCAAAAGCAAGAGGTCAGCCAAAGGCAGGACCATTCACAGAACCTCTTACTCAAAGAGAGATTAGCTTAGCTAAGGCGCTGCAGGGTCTGTCAGTTATTACCATGGCTCTTGCTCCCCCTCATCAGATAACATCCTTTCCAATTGTGGCCAAGATTCCCAGCACAGATGATGGTAAAGCAGCCCACCCACCCACCTACCTCCCAGAGTGCAGCTCTGCTTCTGCTTGCCCCTTCCCTTTCTCAAGCAGTGTGGCTGTCCATCCACTTGATGTTAATGTCTTTCCTCTCCAGGCTCCCAAGAAGTTGATCCGCTATATTGATAACCAGGTGGTGAGTACAAAAGGAGAGAGGTACAAAGACATCAAGAAGCCTGAGAGTGAAGAGATGAAAAGGACCTACATCAGCCTAAAACCAGCCAGGAAATACAAGTTCCACTGACAGCCAGGTTCTGCTCTTCAGCCTTCCACCTCACTGGCCAGGCATGGCAGGATGGACTGTGGTGCTAGGAATGAGGGACTCCTCCACCTGCAGCTAACTTGAACTAACCTGGGAGCCAGGACACTGTTTTCAGCTTCCTCAGCTAACCTGGTTGACAAGGAGGAGATTTCTCTCCCTTGTGTAGCTATCCCTCTGCCCTCAGGGGCACACTGCGGTGGCTCTCTGGGGCCTGGGCATTCTCTGCTATTCCTTGCATGGGACATTTTTAGATCTGAGATGTGGCTTGTGCTTTTGCAGCAACCTTTTTAACAAGTCTGTGTGCACTGTTGCTCTGAGTGCCAGTATTAATAAAGATGATGTGAGTTGGTGTGTAGTTCTGCCAGAGCATGCACATGCTTTACAGACACTGTCTCCAGTCCCTCCTAGGGCCAAAGATAGAATCAGGGTCATCCTCTCTTCCTCTCATTAGTCTCTTGCATCACATTCACTACAAGATGTGGCTGCTGTTTGATTAACTGCCTAGCAGATACAAGTGCTGAGGTTGAACTCCAGAGCTAGACTCTCCCTGCCAACATAACACGCAGCTCTTCACAAACTTCAGCTGACAGTAGAGCCAGTGCTCTTGCCATTTCTCACCACTATTGAGTGCCAGATTTCCAGCCATGCCACACAGAGCAAGATAGAGTAGCAGGCCTGGGCACTACTAAAATGTTAAGTCAGAAGCTGGAAGAAACAAATGGCAATGACCAACTGCTTTCAGTGACAGCACAGCTAGGTTTGGTGCTTTTCTGTCAGTGAAACTGCAGTTAGGAGTGTGTTCCCCCTGAAAACATCTCCCACCTTGCCCCAGCCTAAACCAGCACCCTAGGCCAGGACAGACATACTGCCTGTGCTGGAGCCATTCCAGTCCTTTGGTGCCAGGCTGGCCAGTGGCCACAGGCCAGAGCAAGGCTTACTGCCCTCCTCCCAGAGCTCAGAGGGGCCTGCCCTCTCCCAAGAGGAAGGTTGGTAGCTGTTTTCCTTTCTGCTCCAGCTGGTCTGGTTTGTTCCACAGCTCTGCTGGCATGCCCTGTACACCCACCCCAGGGGACCGTTCCCATCACACACTCCCCTGCTCTCTGGACAGCTGCCGCTTAGAGATTTAAAATACAGCAAATAGTAAATCCTATCTATTAGCTGGCCTGGCCAAGGCCTGTTCAGCACCATGGTGTTCCTGCAAGTCACTCGCTCTCTCCACACCACTGCAGAGGGAGTTACTTTCCCCAGAGGCAGCAATGAAGCCTATTCGTGAACACTCAGTGGCTACTAAACAGCCCCAGAGGAAAGAGTGAGTCCCACTCAGGCCAGCCTCACCAACGGGACCGACCTCTCCCTCTGCACGTCTCCACAGCAGCCAGTTCCGGCATCCTTCCGGGATCCCAGCATTGCGTCAGTCCCCCCCTCCCCGGCAGCAGCAGTTCTAGATCTGAAGGTTGATGAAAGGGGCGAAGCCAACCACGTCCTGCAGGAGAACAAGAGCCCTCTGCAGGGGAGGCTCCACATCCAGCTCCACCCCACGGCTTCGGAGGACGCTCAAGCTGGACTCAGCCACGTTGTGGCAATGCTTGACCTTCAGCGAGCGCAGCTTGGGACAGTACTCAGCCAGGACCCTGCCAAGAAAGAGAGCACATGCAAGTTGCAAATCAGGATTCCTAAGTGCACCATTCACACTCTACTCCCAGCAGCCCAGCGCTCGTGACTGTACCATACATGCATCATCCTTTGGAGCAGCACCCTGGCAGTCTGAGAGAAAGTCAAGGGATGAGGTTGAATCCCAGACCTACCCTCCTTAATATGTTGGGAAATTTGCGTCAGTAGCATACAGTGTCTCTCCTGAAGGGCCTGCTAGTGGCTTCTCTCCCAGACTGAGCTCTCACTGCTTTCAGCAGACATCTGACTCCTCTCTGGTTCTCTTCCTACCCCAGTCATCTGCCATGCCCACCTTGGCTCCCCACATTGCTCAGTACCTGATGGAGTCATTCTTGACTCGCAGACACCCTGTGAGGTCCAAGTGCTCCAGCTCAGGGCAGCACTTGGCAGTCTCCTCAACGGCCACGTCGCCGACGTTGGCATTGACGGCCAGCGACAGAGACTTGAGCCTGCTGCACTTCTGCACCAGGTAGCAGATGGCCTCGTCCTTCAGCTGGCGACAGGCTGTCAGGTCCACAGCCTCCAGGGCCTTGCAGTGGTCAGCCAGACTGCGCAGGGCCAGGCTGTCCACCCAGTCACACTGAGCCAGGGACAGCTGGCGCAGGTTGGGGCAGCTCAGCGAGATGGTCACCAGCGCGTGGCGGCTGAGCTGGACGCAGCCCTTCAGCTGGATCTGGTGGAGGTGGTGGTTCTGCTCGATGACTGGGAGCAGCTCGCAGTCCGTCAGCCAGTCGGAGCAGTTCTGGAGTGCCAGCTGCTGCAGTACTTTGTTGTCCTTCAACAGGTTAACAAAAGCAGCTCGAGGGATGCCAGGTCTGATCTGTGTGGGGAACCCAGGAAGAGTGAGGCACCACCCCAGGCTTTCACATCAGCCTGATCCTCACCAAATACCCTCTCCCCCTCCTTTCTTCCACTTTGACAGCGGTGACCAAAGCCACCCCCTGTCCTCATCCTGGGGCAAACCCCACCATCAAACTCCTCTCCTCATGCCAAGGCTATTGCCACAAGCTAGGAAGATGCTCTGGCTTCTCCATCCCACATTATCACTCCTGCATTTATATACAGGAGTGATAATGTGGGATGTGCTCACCAGCTCCACATATCTGTGCTCACCAGCTCCACATATCTGCTCTCCAAAAATCTCTTTGCTAGACCACTCTGCGTCCTCACAGAACAGCAGCTACTCCTGTCTTTCCCACTCCTAGGCAGTGTCTCCCAGAGCCAGCAGAAGCTTTCCTTGATGATGAGGCACAGAGTTACCCCCCATCAGACCCACCCTATTGCACAACCTCTGTGAAGACCAACAGGCCATGCCACTCCAGAGCTGGCTTGTGTTTCTGCCAGCCAGTGCCCTATAATGGCCTAGGTGGAATTTCCAGGCTTACTCCTCCCAGGGCCTCTTGCTAAAGACAGTGGCATTGCTGGGCCCTGAATCACTACCTCTCCTCCCTGAGCCCATCAGTCCAGTCTGACACCTGAGCTATTAACCCAAGCTACTGAGCAGAAACTACCCTCCTTGCCGGGGGGTTCTTCTCCCCACACAGATGCTCCCCTGTTAGCTCCAAAGCAGTAGGACATCCGTGTCCTCCCCCAGCCTCAGAGCCATCCAATACCTGGCTTGAGTCAAAGCAGCGCATGTTGGCCAGGTACAGCTGGATGAGAGACTGGAATGACTTGCTGACCCTCTGCAAGCTCAGGAGCTGCTGCAGTGGCAGATGACAGAGAATGTGTGGAAGCAAGATGTCTTCCCAGGGCAGGTCCAGGAGGCATCCCCCGGTGGGGGTCAAACTCATCCTCAGACACCAGAGAGCCAGGCTACTGTGGGAGCCGGGCTAGATCACCTCACACCTACTGCCGGGTGCCTCTAGGAGGAACAGTCAGAAAGAAAGACTCAGCGATGTTTCCCACAATCAGCCCACAGGGTAAAGTTCCTTGGCGAGCTATCAGCAGGGCATGTGCCTGCTACCTGCGTCACCTCCTCCCCAACCCGGGACGTTCACTGCTCAGGCATCCGAGTCCACCTCCCCACATTGCCCTCCAGGAGTCCTGGGGTGGGACTTTCTACCAGCCGCCCAAGGAGTCCCTGTCCCTCAGTGAAGCAGCAGGAGGCTGCTGCAGCATCATCGCATTGCTCGCGGGGCAGATGTACCCGGCTCTCACGTCTGAGCATCGCTCTACCCGGCAGCTAGTCCCCGGCATCCAGTGCCGGGCCACTCGGGCGCCCTGCGAGGGGAAGAGACCAGGTCTCCGCTCCCTCCTGCGGGGAGCAAGGCTCCGGGCCCCCTCAGGGTGTCCCTCCGAGGGGCGGGCACTCAGCACCTCTGCAGCGACGAGGCCTTGGGCCGCGAGAGGAACCGGCTGAGGAGTCCCGGCAGCCCGGGGCCTCCCGAGCTGCGGCTGGAGGCCGGTTAGACTCGGCCCCAGCAGCACCCGCAGCTGGGGGAGCCTCGCCCGCGGCCGTTCCTGCCCCGCCGTCCAACGGGGCCCCGCTCGGCCCCAGAGCCGCCCCCGAGCTACCCTGCCGCCGCGGGAGACACGCCGGGGCCTGGACGCCGCCCCGCTCTCGGCCGCAGGGCCCTGTGGCGCGGCGGCAGCGCAGAGCAGTCCCACCGTACCCCGGTACCTGCGGCCCCGGCGAGGCTTCCCCGGCCCGTCCATCCCGCCGCGCCGCACCCGCCCGGACACCGCCGGCCGCCCGTGACGTCACCGCGCCGGGCGGAAGTGCGCGTGCGCCACCGCCCCGCCCCGGCCTGGCCCCGCGGGCGGCGCGCGCGGTACCGGGGGTGGCCGGGCAGGCCGGAGCGGGGATCTCCCGGGGCTGCCGGGCCGGGGCACCGGGCGGGTGTGGCACGGCGCTCACAGGTCCCGCTGGTGTCCTGGCAGCTCCCGCAGGTGGCTCCCAGCGGCACGGCTCGGAGCGCACACCGGGCGCACTCGCTCCCCCGGGCGCACCGTCTGTCCCAGTTCCTCAGTTGTCCCAGTTCCCCAGCGCACACCGGATCCCCAGTGCACACCAGTTCCCCGTGGCCTCAGCTCCCCGGCGCACACCTGTGGCTGCAGCCCCGCGGCTACCCTGCTTCCCCCGCGCACACCGCCTGTCCCAGTTATCCCGACTCCCCAGGGCACAGCAGGTCCCAAGCGTACACCAGCAGCCCCCGTTCCCCGCGGCCCCTGTTCCCGGCGCACACCGGCTGTCCCCCGTTCCGTGGCCCCGGTCCCAGCGCACCCCTCAGCCCCACCGGGCGGGTGGCCGCGCATGCGCCCTGCGGCGGCGCTGTCCGTTCAGCACCACGCGGACCCGCCGGACCCGCCGCTGCCGGTGAGCGACGGCCCCGCTCCAGCCAGACCCCCCGCCCCGCCAGACTCCCCCGCTCCAGCCGGACCCCCCGCCCCGCCAGACGCTCCCGGCCACCCGCCCGGCTCTCTGCTCTCCCAGCGAGCTATGCCACCCCTCGCCCGCTCGCGGGAGCGGCAGGACCCCTGGGAAAAGCCGGTGCCTGGGGCTTACCGGCCTCACGACACCCCCGACCGGCTGCCGCTGGGCCCCGTTCCCCCGCCGGTACCGGGCTTCGTTCCCCCGGGGCGGCTCCCGCCCACCGTCCCCAGCCCGCACCCTCCCTCTTTGTAGGCCGGCTTCCCCCACCCCACTCCCCGCCGGTGCCCCGCCCGCCCCTGCAGCCCCGGGATGCGAGCGGGGCCCAGCCCCTCGCCCGCAGCCCCCGAGGGGAACTGGCCCGAGCTCCTGCCCGCACAGTTGCCATAACGACTCCGCAGAAACAGACGCTGCTCTTCCCTCCCAGCTGCCGCTTGCGGAGCGGGCACTCCCCCGCCGGTGCGGCACTCGCATACCACAGCCCCTAGATGGCCCTGGGCAGGTGACCCCATCTCTGGCTCGGATCTGAGCCCCGCCGCCTTGTGCAGGATCAAGCTGCTGATCACTGCTGGCATGGCCACTATAGAAATCCACCTGGCAAAAGAGCAGGGCCCACATACAGTGAACGAGTCCCAAATCCCCGGTCCCGACTTTCCTGGAAAGCAATAACCTGTCTATGCAACGTGGTCTGCTCATTCCTTCACAAGGTGGAAGCTGGTTTGCAGAACGGTTTTCTTTCCCCAGTGCCTGTCCTCTGGGGGAAGCTCCCCACGCTGTCTCCCCCTGGACATGTGGCTCCCCAAGTTAGCACAGTACATTTCTCACTTGCAGAAGAACAAGCAATGCAGGGATTTTAAATTTTCTTCTGGAGTTGAGAATGCCCCTGGCCATGTCCAGGGACAGCCTTTCCTTCCCCTGGGGTTGGGGCACTCTGTTCTTAAGTTCCTGCTGAGAAATGTGCCAGTTGGCAGAGTCCCTTAATATTCCCCATCTAAGTGAATGACTGTGACTGAAGTTGGCTACAAGGAGGGTTTTTGGAATAGTGGTCTTGGTCTGGAGATGAGGTGAGGGAGCACCAGTGAGCAAGGGATTGCAATGCTCAATTACATCTGGCCTTTGCGGAAGGCTTTCTGTGCCAAAAACAGACCTGGCTGGGAGCCTCTAGCTTTTGTTGAGTCCTTGCTGGAAGGAACTGTGCTGTGGATTGCTTGTTATCCTTCCTGAGCAATATGTGTGGCAAGTGGGACCTGCTCTGCTCCCGCACTTACCTCTGTTTATGTTTTTCATTTCATCTGATCCAGCCGGGCTGGCTGAGTCACTTCCGCAGGAGCCTGCTGGTAGCAGGGCTCAGAGGCGGGCAGAGAGTCAGCCCAGGCAGACTCTGGGTACCACAGTGAGGTTGGGAGACACTGTTATTTTAGAGGTGGAAGTGAGACATGGTTGTATTTGTTTTGCCTCCGTGGCATTCCAACCCTTTCCTTTCTTGTGCTGCACATGCAGAAGGAGAAGACTCTCCTACCTTTAAGACCTGGCGCCAAGGCAGAGCCTCGAGGTTTGGTTAGTGCAAGGCCATCTTCACTGAGACACTCACGGCACCACTGAGGAATCACACTTAATTCAGCTCACTTCAGCCTGCTTGCAGGACAGCATTCACTGTGCCAGGGCTGGAGGACTGCTGCCTCTCAGGCAGTACTGACTTTTTTTCAGGTGCAGCTCTCAGGGTCAACACTGCCCTGGGAAACAATGACCAGCTCTTAGATCCTGCAGCCTGAAAACAGGTTTCCTGATTCATCACCATAGCAAGCACGGTGGGGTGCTTACTCTGACAACCCTCTTTAGCTTCTGAGTTCAGTGCAGCCTTTATTTTGCTGTCTCACCAGTTAGAGGAGTGCAAGCAAGATGGGGAAGAAAAGGGTAAACATGCCAGCTTTGTCAGGGTATAGCAAGGGTAACTGCCCCTGAAAGGGCAGGCCCTCCCCAGACACAAACCAGTTATTCAATACCTGCCCAACAGGGGCAACTGAGTCAGGCCCAGCCTCATGATCAACAAGCAGGGTCATGATGATGGGGCAGGGCTGAGGTCCACCTGGGACACCAACCTACAGGAGAGGGTCCAAATCAACGGTGCCAACAGCCTAGCATAAGAAAAGCTTAGCTAGACTAAGATGGAGACTAGTGCTCCTATAACACTTGACAGAAGATAAGAGCCCCAGACTAATCTTAAACAGATCCACTGGGCCTATGGGCTGGAGCAGTGGAGGCTCCAGGGGTAGCTGGTTAGGGCCACTAAGGTTTATTAGTGTCCCAAGAGCCCTGAAAACTGTTGGCCTTTGGGGGAATTGGTAGGCAGGCAGGCAGGCTACAGCTACAGCTACAGCTTCTGAGATGCATGTGCTAGGTACTAGGAGTTATGGACACTTCCCAGCTATGAAATGTGAAACCTTCAGATTGTTCTCTTTCTTCTCCCTAGATTGTTTACAGATGCAGAAAGAGCATCAGAGGCCGTTACTGTATTGTAGAGGTGTGTGCTGAGACACAGCTTTACACCATCAGGATGTCCAGTGAAGCCAGAAACCTAGGATTACAATGGTAAGGATCTAAAACCAGAACTGGTTTTATGCTCATGTCTGTAAAGATTTCCTATATGCAGACCAATTGTGGTGTGGCTGTACAGCCCTGAAGTACAGGGAGTGGGAGATGTTACCCGTTGTAGCTTCACAGTGAAGGGACAGCTCCAAGCAGACAAGCTTGAAGAACAGAGCTTTGTTCTGCTCTGCTCAGTCAAGATTTGCAGAAAGCTTCTGCCTTTCTGGTGACATATGCTCTGCCTAAGGTGGGTCTGCATTCCTCCTGAGAGGCATTTGTAAGTCTCCTTTTTAAGCTTCAGCGAGATGCACATTTTTAGTTGAGCCATAATACCTCAAACTGTCTGCCAAAACAGCTTTGAGTTGGCCCTGACGAGTGCTGGGTTGTGACACCTGCAGTTCTTGCAGGACAGCTGGGGAAGTGTATTACATAGGTACCTCGAACAAGCAGAGGACACTGTTCAGTTCCCTGGCTTTCCTGTTATCCCGGTGACCGCTGATGTCCTGTGAGGGAAAGCAGGGCTCCTGCGTCAGGCCTTGAGCTGATCCGTAGTAATGAGAGACCAAGCTGAGCTCTGGGGGGAGGAAACAGATTAGCTCACAACAACTGCTGCTGCAGCTTTCTTGTGTATTCCTTGGAAACATAGGGTGCTAGCTGCTCTCAGAGCCAAGGCATGGCACCTTCATTCTCATGAACATCCCCTGAAGTGAACAGAGGCTTCAGCCAGCCTCACTGCTGTGAGGCAGTGCTGGTGCCTATCTGTGCTTCTAAAGAGTCTAGAGGAGCAGTTTGCTCTTCACCTCATCCTTTGGGAAGCAGAGATGACATTTAGGAAATTGGGGCTTGAAGGGAGGGGAGTCTTGTGTTTAGAAGAGCTTACCTCAAGTCAGGAATCCCAGTCTTTGGTTCCCAGAGATGCTCCTGATTTGCTGGCTATCATAGGCGAGTCTTCCCCACTCATGCCACTTTACGTTTCCCTTGCATTGAAAATGCAGTTATTTCCATGTCAGAGGTGTTATAAGAGGTTGGTTTGGTTTCCTGAAGCCTGCTGGGTTCTCCAGAAACTGGTGCTGTCAAAGGGTACACAACTTATTTTTAGGAGATCAGTATGCCGCCAAGCCAATATTATTCCAATGTCCTAAGATCTATCACCTCATATGATGGCTTGGCATCCTGCTGGCTAAACACCTTTGTCCTTGCAAAGACTTTGGGGTCATTTCCTTTACAGTTTTCTATTAGTCTCAAGTGGGGCAAGAGATAAGATCTTGTCAAGGATACCAGTAGCTCTGCAGTGTTCACTCCTTTAAGATGTGAGAGCTAGATGAATGAAGAATCACAGAGGTTCAGTAAAGCCTCTCAACACTGTTTTTCCTTGGACTTTCACCGGGTTCTTTCAAAGGATCTGGCTCCATCTTTTCGCTGGCTGCAGGATAAGTCTGACAGCCTCCATCACTCTCAAGGTTGGAGTAGACCACAGCTGGACTTCTTGATTGCATGGGAGAAGGTGTTGAGCTCACACGGCAAGTTCTGCTGTCAGTGAGTGCTGAGATTGCACAGTGCTACCAGAAGCCAATTTTAAGCTGGTGAAACCAGAACACATGATGACTTCTGTTCAGCTCTTCCCTGTACATGCCCCCTTCCTCCTTCTCTTATTGAGAAAAGAATCTGACTATACTGTCAGGGCTGAAAAAAAATAAATAGAAGCAAAGCAAGGCCAAGTTCTGCAAGTCATAGCTGAAAGAGGAACATTCATGAGAAGCTACACACAAATGCAGGGTTATTCTGCAGCATCCCCCTCAAGAATCTGCTGCACTCAAGCTTTCAGTGTGTCCTTTGCATGTGTCACACATCTCCATGATGGCAGGTTTTACTCAGTTTTCTGGATATACTTGTAATTACTCCTTTGTAATGATCTTCCAGGGTTTCCACACCTTTTATACAATTCTGTATGTGCTGTGTTCTCGCTGTGCTGGGTCAGGCTGTGTATCTGGGGCTTATTGTCTCTTTTCTGCAGAAAATGCTCTTGTATTCATTACTCTTACTTCCCCTTACACCCTTTCCCCATTTGAATCTTGAGGATGAAGGTGTGGGGAGGGGATCACATCTTACTGCTGCAGAGATTAGCTGGAGAGCAGCTCCAGAGATCTGTGCTGAAGCACAAGCATGTCCTGGGAGGCTACACCAGAGAAGTGTGATTTGCATTGCTTCTGACTAAATTTGTCTCTTTGATGCAGTGACTCATCATGGTGAGGTGGGTCTGGTGAATGACCTGCTGGCACCCAAGGATCTCTGTCTTTAGCGGAGAGCCCACCTCACTAGCCAGAAATCTCCTGCTTTCCTTCAAGACCATCTTTCCCTGAGCATCTTTTTACCAAGCGATACTCCCACACAATTGTTCCCCTAACTGCTGTGTAGGGAGATTATTTATGGCTCAAGTTGTGCTGAGGCCCCACCTCCCACGTCCCCAGGACAGGTTTTATCATGCTGTCATTTCTGTCTTCATGTTGACAGAGCAATGCTGGTGCAGGAGGAAGCCCGCTCACTGTGCAGGTGCTGCCTGTCGCTGGGACAGAGTCTAAGGGGATTTCTGTAAAAGCAAGTGTTCCAGGGGCATTACAGAAATATTTTGTTACAGGCCACTCTGAGGACCAGCACACAGCTTTTGACACCATCTTTCTATACTTCTGCTCTTTCAAGTCTGTGCTCCTCCTGTGAGAGGGAGAGCATCAGGAGCGAGCTGGGACACTGAGTAGGGCGCTGGCAATTGGGCAGGCAGCAGCTATCCCTCACATAGACTGTAGTCTACACTGGTTCATCTCTCTGGTAAGACATTTTGCAGTCTGCCCTCTTCTAGAGTGCCTTTCACCCTGAAAAATCCTGCTATGGTCCCACATGACTGCCCCATACAGGGAAGCTACAAGAGGCACAGAACAGTGCAGTTGTGCTCTCCCCTGTTCCCCGCTTGGAGGGGTGGGGCGAGGGGGGCCTGATGGCAGGACCTACAGTGCTGTCTTTTTACCCTGACTAAGCTGTAAAGCAGCATTTGTATAACAGACTGTCAAGGGAGGCTTTTTTTACTGTTTATCCTTAACCACCAGTCTGGTGGAATAACAGATAAGTGCATCAGCCCATTAAAGACTTGGCTTATGCTGCAGTGGCTTTTTTAATGTACGACTAGGAAGTGGTTGGGTGTTGGCATCAGAGGCAGAAGGCATTAATTAGAGCCATGTAGTTAAGTCTAGGCCCTGGGGGAACACATGCAACCTAATTGGTTGCCCTGGAGCCCTCAATGCAGAGATGAGGGGAGTTCATCTTCCCTTGTCGTCACTGGGACTTATCTCCTGCAGGGCTGGAGTTGCTATTTCCATGATACTTCCAGTGAGCCGGGTGAGGAGAACCCATCTGCTGCTGGAGTGACTGTCCCCACTTGCTAGGCTACAGTGTGCCCTGAGTCTACAATACAGCTGCACCGACTTTGGCAGCAGTGGGTCAGAATATGCCCTTCTGCCCTTGTGCCTTAAGCACAAACTGCTCAGGAAACAGCTCTGACAGCCCACTAGGCTCAGAGGAGCAGTCCTGGGGTGCACTGGGGTGTTTACCCCAAGTAGAACTCGAGCTGCAGCTGCAGGAGAGGCACCTTTCCAGAAACTGATCTGAAGCAGGTGCCTCTTGCAGGCACCAGCCCCTCCTGGAGCCACCTGGGGGAAAGAGCTCTTGTCTACTCCCTCTTCACCTGAATTTTATCTAAATGTATACAGTTGCTGGGACACTATGACATCTCAGGTTGATCTCTTCCAAGCAAGAAGTTCATCACTGATAACACTCACATCCTTCTGGCCTTTGGGGGAGAAAAGTGGGTTGCAGGCTTACGAAGACAAGCCAGTATTGCAATCCTGGCAATAGCTAGAAAACTCCTGGAAGTTGCCTGTTGCAGAGTCCAGGGGGCTGAAAAGGATGACAGGGAGCTGAGTGGACTCTAATGCAGGAAGAATGTGGTACCTGCAGGCAAGGACTGGAGGTGCTGAAGTACCCAAGTGATGGTAAAGAGGGTTCCTAGTGCACTGCACTGCTGGCTCTCTAGCTAAGCCCACTGGATTGGGGTTGTGGGGTAGAGCGAGGGAGACTCCTTGTCCCCTTCTGTTATCTACCAGAGGGGTTCTCTGCACCCTCCTGTCCTGAACCAGCTGGGGAGGGATTCACAGCAGGGAAGGATCAGGACAGCCAGGGCTCAATCATTCTCAAAGCAGGGCTAATGGCATTGCTGGCCAGACCCACATATGTGGGCACATCTTTCAGGAGCTATAAGGCTGTGGGAAGGTGAGGGGGATATAGAGCAGGATGTGGTAGGGAGAGCGACAGCTACTGCTACTGCAGGGGAAATGGATGTTTTGGACAGAAATGTGTTTTCTGTGGATCTCCACTCAGGATGGTAGGAAAGGACCTCTCTCTTACCTTCTGCAGCTCTCAGCAGGGCTGCCTGCAGGTGCTGAGAAGGCACACATATGCTGTCCTGGTATGGACACAGTGGGAAAGCTCTGAGCTCTTCCACTTGGTTAAATTTGTCACTCTGACTGTGGCTTAGAGAAAAGCCTTCCCTCTCCCCGCCCTCCTGCCATCAAGAAGCTGCTGAAGGAATCAGGTCGTTGATCCCGCAGCAGTGAGGCCCCTAATTAGCCCAGCTTCTTGGAGTCTGCCAGAAAAGCCGGCTGTGTGTGAGGCAGCTCTGAGACCCACGGTTCTCACTGTGGAAGAGAGGAGCCCTGTGCAGGCAGAAGCCTGGAGAAGGAGAAAATGGCAGCACTTTGATGCATTAAATATGAGGAGAGCCTGCCCAGCCTGATGCTTCCTCCCCATGTTCTCATGCCTGGAAGGGGAGAAGGAGACACGCTTTCTGGGTGACCGTGGGAGCAGGTGGGCATGGAGCTGGGCTGGCTGCAGGCAGGGAAAGCAGAAAGAAGCGGCTCTTCCTAAATTCCTCTTGCAAGCATTATGTACACGTGAAGCCCCAGCTCCCTTGGGCTTCTCCTCTCACACACATTTAATAATGATTGCTTGGCTGGGTAATAAAGTGCTGTTTAATAGCAAATCGATCTGGCAACCTGTGCGAGCACAGAGTGCTGGCTGCCAGTCCCAGGGCTGCCACACACAGAGCCAGCACACTGGCAGCACAGTGGCCTGGAGTCCAGCCACAGCACCCCTCACCTTGGTACCCAGCTGTCCTGTATGAGCTCTACTCACACATGCTGCTGGTGACAGCAGAGCCCACGCACCTAAACAGGATATAAATGATGGGTGTTTTTCCCCCCTTGTAGCTAGGAGTGGTTTCCTGAGATTGGTGTGGCATTTACCATCCTTGGGGTGCCGTGACACTGTGATATCAAGTCCCTGGTGTCTTGAAACACCTTAGCACCCATGGCGGTGGTGTGCTTAAGGTGATGACCTTTGGAGAGATAAATCCCTGGCACAAAGCCTGTACTCTAAGGCAAGGACCAGCAGCTTGGGGATGTTGGCCGGTGGCCTAGGCCCCATGGCAGCTTTTATCCTCTCATCTTCGTGGTTCCCAAGCAGTGGTGGGGCACATGGGAGCCTGTATCCTTTGGCACAGGGCACAACACACAGGGCTGTGCATACTCACGCATGAGGACACGTGCCGGTGGCCCCATAGTAACTTGCACGCTGCTGAGCAGGGACATGCCCTGCATGCCGATGTGCACACCGATAAGCGCAAATGAGCACACGAGGACACTGGAACACACACGCCAACATACGGGGTCGCACCGCCGGCGAAAGATGTTCACACCGGCACACGGGGGTGCGCGCACCGGGACCCGGGGATGTGGAGGATGCTACACGGAGGGGGTGGACCCGCCCTCCCGCAAGGGGACCCGCACCCGGCGGCGGCGTGGGTTCGGCGGCGGCTCCTCGCGTGCCGGTGCCACCGCGCGGGGCGGGGCGCGGCGCCCGCGGGCCTTCCCATTGGCTGTGGGGGCTGTCAGCGGGGCGGAGTGACAGCCGAGGGCCGGGATTAGCGCGGCGGGGAGCGGCGTGCTGCGGCCGGTGGCACCGTATCGAACCGGACCGGACCGTGCTGTGCTGTGCTGTACCGCACCGCACCGCAGCGCACCGCGCCCGACAGGCCGAGTCGGGCCGGACTGGGCCAGGCCGGCAGTATCGCGGAGCAGCGGCGCGCAGCATGCGGCGGCGACGGCGGCACTGCCGGTGAGGCGCGGGGAGCGGAGCGGGGCGGGGCGCGGAGGGGACCGGAGGCTGGAGTGGGGCGTCGGGGAGCGGGGAAAGTTGCAGCAGTTGTTGCGGGGACCGGGGCGGCTCTGCGTCCCTCCGGCAGCGGTGACCGGCGGGCGGCGGCACGGGGCTGCAGTGGCACCGGTGGCACCCGGCAAAGCCGAGACCCACCCCCTCCGCCGCTGTCGCGGAGCGGCCCCGGTGTGCCGGTGCGGCGGGACGGGCGCGGGGCCGCTGCCCGAGCAGGGAGAGCGCGGTCGGCGGCTCCGCGGGGGGAGCGAGCGAGCGGGAGACTCCGCCGGCCCCCCTGGCCGGGGGGGCTCCCTCCTTATCCGGATGGATGTCACATCCACTCAGGGCTGATCCCGCCGAGACGGGAGGTGCCGGGCGAGGGAGGCCGGGCGCGGGGTGGCCGGGGAATGAAGAGCATGCTCAACCTTAGCTCAAAGGTGGGGGCACGTCCCCTGCCTAAACACCCCATCACGAAGGGGTCCCCTGTTTGCCCTACAGCCCTCGGACCTCCAGGCACCCCGTTTCAGTCACCACTGCATCCCCTGAGACTGCTCCGTGTCGCTCTGGAGGGCAGAATCATCTCTCTGCGGCCATCCCGCCCTAGCCCCGTCAGGTGGCCCGGCAGCCACAGCCTGGTTTCGCCAAATACGGCCCGTCGTGTGAATTCAGCCCCCAGCCCTGCACCTCTTGCTTCCGTCCCATCTCTGTCCCGTTCTTTGCCCAATCCCCTCTCATCCTCCCCCAGCTCCTGCGCGTTGTCCCCGCACTCCCGTGGCGTGGGTGTGCTCTTCCCCCGCAGCGTAAGCAGTTCCTGCTGGTGCTGCCTTCCCACCGCATCACTCCGCCAGGCAAGCGCCTGCAGGGGGACCAGCCATCCCCTGTTGCACCGGTTTCTGCTCAAAGTGAGGGCCCGGAAGCATCCCTGGACTTCCCTTTGTTCGCTAAGAAGGGACAGGCAGGAGGAACAAGTTTCTTGTGAGTGAGATGTTTTATTGAACAAATTAAATCCCCCAGTGATGTGCAGCTCCCAGCTATCACACTACAGCTCCCGAGTTTTCCTCTTTGAATGCATGCCCAGGATTGTTCAGGCACACACACTGTGAGCTTTCATCTGCAGAACTTCTCCTGCCTTTAGGCATCGGGACCAGCAAGGCTCCCTCCAGCCCACTGGTGCTTTACAGCCCAACCCATTCATCACAGTGATTTAAAGATCATCTATTCAATGTACAACTGAAATCAGCAAGCAGGAAACCTTAGTTCCATCATCGTTTTTTCATCTCAGTTGCATTTGTGCTTTTAACCTTTCATTATTAAAGAAAAGCTCACTCCACTGGATGATGTAGCCATCCAGCTTCAGTGGGTCAAAGGTAGGCATGGCCTTTACTCTGAATTTGATAATTCTTTAATAACCAGAACAACACTCTGCTTATCCTATTTATTCTAGTAATAACTCACATGCATTTAGATAGGCTGGTTTTTGTGGGTTTGTTATGTTACAGTGAGTGCAAACTATTCCAAGTGATAAGTTTTTTCCTTGGCATTTGTGTCAGTCTGCATTGAGATAAAAAGTGGAATTTCATTTGAAATATATAAACCCTGCATCTTTATTATTTATCAGTTAAATTCAGCAACCTTGAATGTGAACACAACCATAACAGGAGAAAAAGATTTTAAAAACAGTAACTGATAAATTAAACAGGAGAGTATATTTTTGCAGTGAGTGAAGTAAGAGATTGTTGCTGCTCAGCAGGAGACAGATTTTTTAGCAATGTGATAGTGCAGATAGATGGGTGCCTGTCCCAAAGGTGTGATTTGGGCTATTTTACTAGGAGTTATGTCTCTGCATCTTTGGAGCCTAAACACTGTGGAAAATTGAGCCCCACATCCTTTAGGAATTTAATCCTGTCTGATTTGCACTCAGAAACAGGAAGAAGAATCATGTTTTCCTGTTTGCAGCTGACATTTGGTTTCTCACTTTCAAATAGTGAGAGTGAAGGACTTAGTATCTTGGCATCTGTCAGAAGGCAAAAACAGCCAAGCAGAGTCTTCTCTGCACATTAAGAATTCTAAGAAACTCAGGGGAGGATAAGTACAAGTTTTAACACCACTGGGAGAAAGAAAAATGTCAGCACCAGGGCTGAGAGGGGCTCCGGGTCCTGCCTTCCCCTGCAGCCACCCCACTGCTGTGGCGTGTCTGATCCCATCTCTGGATAAATGGTCTCTGAGCAGAGACAGGCAGGCAAGTGAGCTGTGTGCAGGGCAGGCATGCCTTGTTCCCCCAGGCTGAGATTGTCTGTAACCACTGCTTTTTGGATCTACTGGTGTTGACAGCTTTGTCTGCGCCACCAGTAGTGGTTGCGGCATGTGCTGGTGTGACACAGTTTAAACCCAGGCTGACCTCCAAAGAGAGAGACTCCTTGCCCTTGCTGCTCATGTTAAACTCATTGAACAAGTGTAATTGGAAGATGTCTCAGTGATCCAGTATATAATTTTTTCCCCTGCTTATTGAAGTGATTTTAGTAAGCTGTAGGCTGTGGGTAGTAAATATATTCAACCTAAAGCAGTGTAAATGAAACCCATTTTATAGTGTGTTCTCTCACTGTGTCTGGAGTGCTGGTCTGTGGGGTGTCTGAGCATTCTGGCACCTTGGGGAGAAAGCATACACTCTGGGTGCCTGGGCCAAGCAAGGGACTGCCAGTGACCCTGCAGTGGTGCTGGTGTGATGCCCTCAATGAACCTTGCCTGCTTCTTGCATTAGGAGGGGACTCGCCAGGGGCTATGTCACCTGGAGCACATCTTGCTCCTGCCACAAGGACAGGGCCACTTTGGCCTATCCTCCCCATAGCCCCGGACTCTTTCTTGTGCCTTCCCTTCCCTAACCAGCTCTCCTCACCCTTGTTTCAGGGCTGCCTGAGGATGCATCGCCTCTCAACTCGGACATCTCAGGGTTGCCGGGAACCTGCCTTGCTGTGCCTGTGCCACCCTGCTGGGCTCCAGACCTGACACCTCTGTGCCCTCTTCCTGCAGGATGGCCCAAGCGGGGGGACCTGTCCGCTTCCACCCCGAGGAGGGCTGTGCTGCCTCACCCCCGCCATTTGCCCACAGAGTGAGCCGGAGACCTTGGCTGGCTGGGGGAAGCCTCGAGACTGGACGGCACAGCCCCCCGCCCTGCCTCACCCCCAACCTCAACGCCGGCCGCCTCCACCTGCTGCGCAAGGGCCTGGCGCCTGATACCCGCCGCTGCCCCCTCGGTCTGTACAGCAGCACCGGCTCTTTGGCCCGCAGGCCGGCTGAGGCGGCACCCTTTGGCAATGGGAGCTGTGCGGGCACAGGGCGACTGACTGCCCCCTGCACCCCACGGCGGGGCCGGCCTGGCCCAGCCATCGCCTCCCTGGGCAGACGCAGCCCACCAGAGACGGCAGCTCCGGAGGGACACAGCTCTGTCGTCACCTTCCGCTTCATTGAGAAGGCCAGTGTGCAGACCCTGGGGAGCCCGACAACATCCCATGTCCGCTGGGAGAATGGTCCCTACAGCCTCAGCCGCAGCCTGGAGCTCACTGGGGACATGGGATCCCCCCAACCCCAGACCCTGCCCCAGGAGCGGCTCCTGCACACACTGAAGCTGGAAGCCTCCGCATCTGACCCGCTCCTGGCCGGGGGCCGGACCCCAGGGGGGATGCATCCCTGTGGGAAGGAGTTCTGTGCCATTGACACCAGCTGCCTCTGCCGATCCCTCACCAATGGGCTGCCAGAGGAGTTCTCCACCTTCTCCAGAAATCCCCTGAAGCCAGAGCCTCGTCCCCAAGTAGGTACAGGGGTACCCCACACTGGGCACAGGGCTCTGCCCTGGGGATCCATTGCCCACTCATCTCTCTTCCCTCTGCAGGGCAACGCTTGGCTGTACCCCCGGCAGAGCTCGGCCCATGCCCAGCGCATTGCCAAGGCCAAGTGGGAATTCTTCTATGGCTCCTCAGATGCCCCAAAGACAGGTAAGAAGTTGGCTGCACCCACCCCTCCTTTGCAAGTCTGTATTGCTGCCAGGAGTCTCCCTGGGGCTACCCATCCCAGGGGGCTTCTCAGCACCCACCAGAAAGCCAAGTCTCCCCCAAGACTGGCCGGTCTGTGTCCTTCTGAGGCCAGATCCTGCACACACCAACCTCCCTGCAGAGTCCCCTGTGGCCATGCAAAGAGCCCGTGGCTGCTTCTGTAGAAGGGCTTTTGGGTTCAGATGGGGGCTAAAGGCTGGCTGTGGATGCACTAGCCCTGACAGCAGCCTGTCTCTACCTCTCACACTCTTTTTCCTTCTGCCTCCCCATCACTGTTCCCCAGTGCGCATCACATAGTGGAGTCACCATCCCTGAAGGTGTTCAAGAAATGATTGGAGATGGCACTTAGTGCTGTGGTTTAGTTGACATGCCAAAAAAGTTGGGACGTTTTGATGTTGGCAGGAGGATCAAAGGTTGGACTTGATGATCTTGGAGGTCTTTTCCAACCTTAATAATTCTGTGACGTGTCATGAACGGCACATGAGCTTTTCTATGTGATGCTGCAGGAGTGGCTCCTCAGAGCTCTCCAGTGCACCTCCCGTGGCTCTGAATGCTTGGGCCTTCCTTGCAGGCTCTTCTGCCCCAGACTCCACTCCCTTGGCTGAGTCTCCCCAGAAGCCTGTCTCCCCACTGCCTGCCAAGCCACCAGTGTCAGTACCTGAGCACAGTCTGAGCCATGTGGAAGTGGAGATAGAAGTGTCTCCTCTGGGCAGCCAGAAGCCTGGCTCCTGTGAGACTGGGATTATAAGGAGGACAGTGAAGTACTCCGAGACAGACTTGGACACTGTTCCACTGAGGTGCTATCGTGAAACCAACATCGATGACATCCTGGCCGAGAAGGAAGAGGTGGATTCAGCAATTGAGAGCCAGAAGGACAGTGAGAGCAACCCAAGCTTTGGGGGCACTCCAGGCAGAAGGAACAGCACACCAGAGGAGCCTCCCACCCCAGGCACTGGCTGCTTGAAGGATGGGCTGCGGGACAGGGACGTGGACGAGGACAATGAGGTGTTCGCGGCAATGAAGAGGGAGAACAGGGAAAGGTGAGGCTCCGTGCATGAGGGCAAAAAGTTCTGCTTACCCTCCTTATTATATCCTACATGGCAAAATGGGCTCTGCCAAAAAGTGTCTCACACAAAAATCCCATTAGCTCCATGCAAGCTGTGTGGGGGGGTGAGATGGGATTCCTGGATTTCACCACTGGGACTGGAGCTGGGGCTGGGGCTGGGACTGAGAGGGGGCCCTTACTGCCCTATGGAAAGAGTAAGGCAGCACAGGTGATCCAGCCCTGGGCACTAGGCTCACTCCTGGGTGAGCCCTTGCAGCTGAGGTTGCCTGGCTGAGTCAAGGCTTCCCACCACGAGTCTTGACAGGTTAATTACATTCTGCCCCAGTGCTGCCAGGTGTTGGGGTGATGGTGTCAGGGTACCTTGAGCACAGGTCCTGCAGCTGCTCTGGACTGGCAGGTGCTGCTGGACTACCCTACTCTTCGCATATGACTGTGCTTCAGTGGCAGGAGCAGTCCCATTTGTTGGCCTCAGTAAGTATTTGCCATGTTTGGAAAAGAGTAGGGGATACATTTGGATGCAAATAGCCTTTTTTTGCCTTTTATATGATTTTTCACATGTGTGGCAAAATACCCTGTGCTGGGAGGCTGATGGAGTGGGTGATACCAAGGTTATCATTCAGTTGCCTGCCCCTGGGCAGCAAGTGTGCTCCAAGCTGCTGTCTACCCACTGCCAGGCAATCAGGACCTGTGAGAAGTGGCCCTTTGCCCATGGACTTTCCTCTGGAGTGGTGGTTTGACCATGAGAAATGATGGGCATCATCAGGTGGATACCTGCTCCAGAGCACTGTGTGGGAAAGACACCTGGAGGGGAAAGACCCTGGCTGGGAGTAGGAGATGCCTGTGCAGGCAGCGGCAGCCAAGGTCATCTCCTGACATGTATTGTCAAAGAGTCTTGAGTGAGGTGAGGAGGCTCAGCATCATCGGCAAGTGCTCCGTGGGAGTGGGGAGAAGTTTCATCTAGGAAGCACAAAACCAGGGTGATGCTTGGGATGCCGCATGGCGGTATGCACTCACCCAGCTGTGCAAAAGGTAGGTAGGGGGCATATAGGTAGAAGAAAAGGAAAAGGGAGGTTTTGATGTTGCCATGAGGAAAAAAAAAGAAAATATAACCCTCAGTGGTGCTGCTGCACTGGGAAGGAAAAAAATGAAGGTGCTTGGTTGACCAGGAGGGAAGGAGTACATCCCAAGGGCAGCTAGGTTCCTGTCAGTTTGTCCAGCCTTTGCATCTCTGTTGGAGGGGACAGATATATCTCTTCCTGCCATCTGCCCTGTCCTCAAAACATTTGAGTTCTAGAGAAAAGCTGAAAATAAGCCATTGTTAATGCACTTTTTTTTCCAAATGATGTTTTGAGTAAGATATAAAGTTATTACCACTGCAAGCAAGTTCTTCAAATTGCTGTCACAATTATCTTGCATAGTGGTATTTTTTTCCAAATATGTACTAGACTACTACGAGTTGTATGAGCTGTAAACCTAGACCTGCTTTTTGTCCTCTGAGGCACCCTACTGCAACTCCCCAGGCAGTGCTGAAAGCTTGGATATGTCCTTATATGCATTGTTGCTCCTAAAAGATAGTGGTCCTGATGTAATTACCAATCTGTATATAGTGATGTCATGTTCATTTTGCACGGCTTCTTTGTAGACCAGTGGGGTGTTTTTGCTCTGCAGCCCAGTGAATATTCCCCTGGTAGGTGCAGACCCTGTGGGCAGTGTATTGAAAATTATGAGGCTCAAATTGTGAGCTTGTTCAGTCCCTGCATCACAGCCCTGGATTTTTGCTTACACACTGTTTTGAGCTCTGCAGCTGCAGTCCTCATCCCTGTTTACCAGTCACCAATATTGATGTTTTCTGCTTCAAGCTTTCTGCTTTGCTTGCTCACAGGAGCAGTGAAGTTGGGGGAGTGAAGGAGCCCCCCCGACTCCCAGGACCTGGCACCATTCTGCTGCTGCAAGAGCTGCTGAACTTCAAGCCTGTCTTGGTAGCTGGGAAGGGCCAACCTTACAAAATTATTGAAGCACCTTTGAATGCTAATTTTCAGCTTCTAGATATGTACATCCATTTGACTGTCTAGCTCTAAGTGCTTAGCACCCTCTGCAAGGGGAACTTTGGCTTGGTACTACCTTGTTGTATTTAGTATTCTGACCAAAGGTCAGAGTCTCCTTTGGTGGTTTACCTTCCCAAAATAAGAAAGCATGCTAATAGCAAAAATAATCCAACACCAAATCAAACAAGGCGTGAAAAGCAATGGAAAAAATGGTGTCTTCTTCCAGCAAATCTGCTCTCTGAATATATTTAGAGTCAGATCTACTGACTCTAATGACTAGTTTAAGCCTTTACTGTCTTTATTCCCATTAGTCCCAGAGAGCCAAGACCTGTCAGTGAGAGCAGGCTCAATTCCCTTCCTCCCTGAGCATCACCAGACATACTGGCTAAGCTGTAGGAAGAACCTGGCTTGGCCCACAGTGTGGGTGCCTTGGGCTGATAAGAGAGAAGAGGCTTTGCTACAGGATGCCCCAGTCTCCTGAGAGCACAGAGGGCTGATGGGAAGCAGTGATGCTTTTTCTCCCTGCAAGTAGAGCAGCTTTCCCCAGGAAAGCCCTTAGATCTGCTACTTGGGGAACCTTTCCAGAGCCTTTGTGCTCACTGCTTAGTGGCAAAAAAAGAGCTGCAGGGCAAGCCTTGTTGAGGATTAAAAAATGGTTATGGCCTCAGTTTCATCAAATGTTTAAGTATATGCTTAACCTGCCTCAGTAGCCACTCTGATGTGTTTTGCTGATGCTGAGCCTCTGTCTCAGAGTCCAAACTCACCACAGAGTCACTGATCAGGGTGATGCTCCTGCATCCCATGGGCTTAGTCTGGAGGGGGGATGCTTGGGGTGATGCTGGCAGGCACCTGCCAATGAGCAGGAGAGGTGCCTGCAGCTCTTGGGGAAGGACTGAAGACAGTATGACAGCATGGATATGTGAGGGGAGTGTGGACACTCAGGGAGAGACTGCAGTGCCTGTGGTCAGTACCTGCGCCTGAGTGTGGGTCAGAGTTAGGACACTGAACCCTAAGAGCAGGCTGCTGCCACGCTGGAGAAGTGTAAAGGAGCCTGCGGGGAGTGCAAGGAGATGCTGAGGCTGGTCTGTACATGAGCTTTTCTCTGAGAGGAATAAAGCAAGGAGCTGATGATGGTGCTGTACCTTCTTTGAACTGAGCTAAGATCCCCACACAGTCCCTGCTGTGCCTGTGCAGGCTGGAGGAGTGGAGCATAGTGGGGACAGTCAGCAGTCTGGAGGGTCACAGGAGCATTTGGCAGAGAGTGAAAAACACTGAGGGCCAGAGGAGAGATTTTTCCCCTCTTCTTCCCCCTGCCAGGGACAGCACAGCTCTGCAGCACCAGACGGGGAGGGCAGAGTGAGCCCCTTCCCCTCCATCAGCTATCAGATGCAATTGGAGAAACCCGGTTGCTCAAATCCCTGTGGTCCCCGTATGCAAACCTTTCCCTGAGGTGCTGCTGGCTTTGGCACTTACATGCAAAGCAGTAGAACCATCAGCTCCCAGCATTCACTTCCCCTCTGTATCTGCCTGGCCCTCTTCTAAGGAAGGCTCACTGCTCCTCCCGCACCAGCTCATGGCTGGAAACCTATTTTATTTCCCACTGCCTGTCACCCTTGCACAGATGCTCAATTACAGCTTGTTAATCTCCTTCTTTCCTCTCCTCATCCCAGCTGTGTTTGTCTGGCTTGGTGTCAGCGTACTGGCCCTTCCTGGGGACCAGAGCAGAGCGTGGAGGGACTGGGCAGAACAGCAGGGGCTGATGAAGCATCTAGGTCTGAGCAGGCAGCATTGCACGTATGCTGCTGTGACTAGATCCTTCTGGAGCTGAATGGCTTTGTGCTTGATATTTCAAGGTGGAAAGATTGCTTCCAGAGCTTGGATGATGTGGACAAAACCAGCTGTGGTTTTTCTGTGGCTTGGTGGCAATATACTTGATCACAAGAATGAGCCCAGCTCCCTCTCCTGGGAACAAGGTTCCTTCTGTCTGCTGGCACTGTCTTCCCCGGCACAGCCCAGTCACCCTCTTTATGGATTTGGGGTGCAGAACAGCCAGCAGCATTAGCTTGGTTTAGTAGCATGCAGCTGGGTGTGGGAGGTGGTGAATGCACATTCACATCCGTAAAACAGGTCTGTGGATGTTAAAGAGGTCTCTTCTGCCTTGTCCTGCCAGAAAGCCGTCTCAGAGGTGGCTGCTCCTGGGGCTTCTACAGGAATGGTAAGAGCATCAAGTGGTGCTGCACAGCCACGGAAATGCTGGTGGATGGGCGAGATAAGCCTGCACCCAGCCTTGCTTACCTGTGTCTGGCTTTGCTGCACTCCTCTTGAAGCCAGCTGGCACTCTGGGGGAGTCAAGCTGCCAGCTCTTGGCCTGCTGAAGTAATCAGGGTGAGATTTTTGAGCAGCATGTGAAGGCTAATGAATGAAAATCATTCGGTGTGTGTAACAGCAACACATCTTCTGAGCCCTCTGTACGAAGCTGTTTGTTCATAACGAATGTTATGACAGGCTGGAGCAGTTCCTCTCCTTTAATCAGAGGAGAGAGTGGCATAACAAGTGCTTTTCCGCTGCTTTAATATAATGATAGCGGCTTATGAGTAAAGTAGGCTTTTAGGGCTGTGTTTGTGCTTGTACAGCTGAAGCATTGATGTTCCTTGGGTTGGAAATGTCCCTGTTGTCACGTGCTCAGGTGGGTGGGCAGGCTGCACTTCACCTCATTTACAGGACAAAACACTCAGGGCTCCAGGCTTTGGAAAATCCTGTGTTGGGCAGGACCCAGAGCAGCATTGGAGAGAGGCTTGGCCTTTCTGTGGGGCTGACAAGATGATGAGCCAAGACCAGGCCTGGCATCTAGGACATGGGCCAATTCAGATCCCGAACCCCAGAAATGGGTGTGAGGCTCCCTCTGTAGTGCCTGGGGAAACCTGGGGCTCAGTATCACTTTGTGCTTAGTCCCAGATGTCTCCTGGGACTCAACATCACCTTATGATGGGTCCAAGACATCTCCTGGAACCAGCAGCAGACCTTGCAGATGGGTGTTGGTCGTAATCTGAGCAAGGTACTCAGTGACCACAGTGCAGTGTTCATGGAGAAGGTGTCACACTGTGCTGAGCAGCTTCAGGAGGAGCCTTCTGGGTGGTGGAAGCTCTGAAGGCTCATGAGAAGTTCAGCCACTTCCAGATTTGGTTGGAAATGGAGCTGAACCACATCCTGCTTCTGGTACTTGAGCCCTTTATTGGATCTAAGCTCAAGCCAAGTGATTGGGAGCAGTAGCCATCTCATAAGCTTCTTATGAGGATGAGCCACTAAAGGAACAAAAGTCTGTGGTGCATTAAAGGAGAAGCATATGTCTGGAGGGAGGCCAGCCCAGTCCCTCTTCCCATGATGTCTTGGGCAGGCGAGGCATTTCCTTGGTGGTCTACAGATGTTCAGAAGAGATTTCTGCCCTCCTCAGTTTCCTTCTGGAGCAGCATGTGGGCTTTTGTTTCAGGGCTTTGATCCCTTGCTCCTCAATGATCAGTTCTTCTCACTTTCTTTCCCTTTAGGATCATGGATCGAGACACACAGGGTATGCTCAAGTCTCCAGTGCCCTTCCTAGGGCACAGCCTCTCCAAGGATGGCATGGACTCTTTCAGCAAGCATTTTGAGACCATCATGGAGTCCCATCGAGCCAAAGGCACATCTTACACCAGTCTGGACTCCATTGATATCCTTTCCTCCCCAGCCCGCACCCATGGGACCTTTTTTACTTTTGACCTCCCGACCCTCACCCCAGAAATACAGGGACAAATCCGAGACAGCGCCAAGCTGATTGAGGAGAACTTTGCTCCTCTGGCTCATTTGGAGCCAGACTCTGGGACCAGTTCAGCCACAGATGCCCCCTGGACAGAGAGGGAGGAGGAGCGGGGGAGAAGACGGAAGGGTGCTTGGCACAGCCCTTGCCACTCAGTGGACAGCTTTGGTACTCCCTTGGCCTCCAACACGAGGTGAGTGACCAAAATTGCTTGCTGTCCAGCTGGACCACCAAGACCTGATGTGAAACCTAATGCTGAGGTCTGTTTTGCAGCCAGAGTCTAACCTGTGTTGTTGGAGAAGTGTCAGGACTGTGTGTGCTGGATTTTCTGGGCAGTGGCTGATCAAGCCAGTGATCACCATGGTGCTGTGGTAGGCATGTTGATTGGGAGCACAACTCCTTCTTCATTTTTGCCAGCTTTTCAGGTGCTAGAGGGCTGTGAGGTTTCCTCCAGGCAAGCAAGCAGGGAGTCCCAGGACCTCAATCCTGTGGTGGTTTCCATTGCAGGACAGTCCACCATCCATGGTGGCTTTGGGGAGAGGCCAGTCAGAAGTTAACTGCCAGTAGAAACTCAACAGCCTCTCCCTGCTGGGGGCTGTGTCCCTTGCCATCTGAGTAGCAGCCTCTTGTTTCTTGAGCTATTGTCCTGGCCTCCTGAACCTCCTCAGCCTTGTTCATATTGGGAGATGTAGGGCAGAGATGAGCACAGCCCACCAGAGGCTCCCTGTACATTGCTGCAAGCTTGCGTGCAGCTGGGCTCAGGATGGCTGCCCCGTGCCTGGGGAGATCTCTGGTCGAGTGGGCTGGGGGAGCTCAGCCCCACTACTTCCAACCTGTCCCTATGTGAGTCCATGTCCAGGCTGACACACCTTCCTGCACTCCTCCCTCTTCTGGCAAAGTCTTGTGCTGAGGCACCTGTGATGTGGCAGTTTGATAGGCTGCATCTTTTCCACACTCACCTGGAGTGTGGACAGGTCTGGTTTGGATGTTGGATCTGGTCCAGTGGTTTAGCTGCAGAGTTGGTGGCTATTGGAGTACCTGGTGTCTCATTCATGCCAGTGCTGACCTTCCTGTTTTCATTGCCTCCCTGCAAGGTCTCTCTGCCCAGTGACCTTTTGTGCAATGCCAGAGCATCCTGAATCCCTCATCTACTTTCTAGGCTTAGGCTTTGGTCTTTTCCACACTAAACTGATGTCACTTCTTGTCACAGTCTGTGCCATCCTTGTAGGCTTAGGTTTGTGCTGTAAAACTGGTCATTTCTGGGAGATACAAGGCAGCGACGGGTGGGAGTATCCAGCCACGGTCAGTGCTCTCTGCAGGAAGAATTGGCTTCCTATTTCTCTGCCAAGGCAAGGGACTGAAACACAGTACCCTGGAGAAACTGAGAGGACAGTATCTGACATGCTGTCCATGGGATGCCTTTGTACCACAGCAGCAGTGCCACAGGGGATGGGGAGATGTGAGGGTGCAAAGACACATATGGCATCAGGGATGACAATGAAGTGGCTTAACAGAGGTTATTCCTCACTGGTTTATAGTCAGTGGAGCACAGAGCATGCTGGCAGTGCTGAGGACACTGCAGCACTGTGTTTTTCTCCTAGCTTAGGCTTCAGAGCAGTGCTGGGCACAGGCTATGGAGGGGTATTTTGTATCCCCCAAGCTGCCCTATATCTTTTCTGAGCCCGCCTTTCCTGAGCCTCTTGTCTTCTCCTGTTCCAGCAGGACAACCTTTAGTGGCAGGGGAACGCAGGGGAAACCCAGCTGCAGCCCTCTGTGCTCCCTGGCCTGGGGACTCTGAGGCTTGGGCTTCCCATTGTACCATAAGCTCCAACCTCACTTCTGTTACACATGCCTACAGAGTCCCAGGCAACTATCTTTCCCCATTTAGAAACAATTTCCTTGGTTATCAGTAAGTCCCTGCATAGCTCTTCATTTTGTCTAGTTCAGACCCTGTTTCTTGCCAATCTCCTGGGCTACAGGTGATGTTCAGACCCACCATGCTGCCCTGCAGCAGCTGAGCCAGTGCCCTGGCTCCACTAGAGGCTGCAGGAACAATGATGAGAAATGAAGTGGGAGAACAGGGCTCAGCTCTATGCTCCCTGGCATGGAGTGAGCCTTCCCTCACAGTCCCCACAGGTAATGGGGAGAGAGGCTGGTGTGGTTGGTATCTGCCATCTTGTGCACTGGAAGTGAGTGGAGATTGGGACTGGGAACAGGAACTAGGCTGGGAAGGCATGTGGCCCCAGGGGCTGAGACAGCCCATCATCTGCAGGGTCATTACTCAGGATATAGGGCTTTCTGGGAAGGGAGAGGTCTAAGAAGTTTCCTCTTCCACATCACTGGTGCCATCAACTTTCTAGACTCTGAGTGAAGCTGACCACAAAGTTGAAGCTTCCCACTTAGTTTGAGGGAGAAATGTCTGTGCTGACTGCTCAAAGGTTCTCATGAGCTGGAACCAGGAGATCTTGATGCCTGGCAAGGCTGATCTTTTCGAGCAGAGGGTGTCCTTGTAATGCTCCAGCTAAAGGGTAGTTAATGGAAATTGCTGAGGAAAACTAAGGAACCTCTGCAGCCATTGTAATGCAACATTACCTGTGCCAGCAGGGCCAGAGCAAGGCATTTGCCACTGCCCAGGGTCACTGCAGGGTCACAAGCAGTACAGACTGACTGCCACCAGTGCAGATGGGACCCCGGGCAGGGGGACTCTGCAGTGGAGACTCTGCTTTACACTGTCTATCAGTCTCAGGGTTGGCAGAGGTGACCTCAGGCTGCAGGGCTGTGGTATGAGTGATGTGGTGACTGGTGATGAACACCAGTGGGTCTGGGCCTGTGCTGCCCTGCAGTTGTCCTCCTTGCGCTCCCAGAATCTTTGGTGTTAATTGTTGCAATGCTTGGGGATGGGGTCTGGGCTGGAGATGGCCCTGCATCCTGTGACTTTTTACCTCTCTTGGTGTCAGGGATGGCCAAGTCAGTGATGCCCCTGCATTGCTGGGGATGTGCGGTGTCCCCTGCAGCCAGTGGCCTTGGTTCATGCAGCCTTGTTGCTCACACCAAGGCTCTGGTGTCCCTCAGCACACAGTAATCTGAGACCATGCTTTTATCTTGACCTTGTATGTGGAAAGTGCGTCTAAGTGCAGACCCAGAGATGCCTCCCTGGGTGCTGGGATGCATGCACCTACTGCAGCAGGCTAGATTGAAAAGGATGGAGCAATGGCTGAACACTCCCCACCCGCCCCCGGCAGGACAACCCACAGCGGTGGGCACACCCCAGCGTGGGGCAGAGGCTCTGTGAGTAGTTTATCACCCCTTTTTGGGCAGGGCTGAGCAGAGGGCTGCTGTTAAAGCAGTCTGTTCCTGTGGCTATGACATTGACCCGCAGAGCATGTGTGGAGGCATAGCCCCCTCAGGGCTGGGAGGTCCCTCCGGACAGGTGAGGCTGGCCAGGGACAGATGCAGTGCTGGAGAAATGTCGGGGCGGGAGCAGGGTGGGAGCTGGGGCAGCCCTGGGGACTGCAGGAAGTCGCTTCTGTGGTGGCAGCCAGACTTCTGCAATTGCAGGTCCAAATTGCAAGACTTGGCCAAGCTGCCGGGTGCAGGCTCAGAAGATCACCTGGCTTGCCCAGTTCTGTGCACGGGCAGCCGGGGCTGTCGGCCCACAGACAAGGCGATGCGTGCTCTGGGGCATCAGCCCCAGAGGGATGTAAATGGGCAAACTGCACCTCTATGCGGGTGCAAGCCCCCTGAAATCCAGCTGCCCAACTTCCATCCCACTCCTCTGGAGCCAGCCTTGGCCCGTGCCAGACCCTGAGGGGTACTCAAGGAGGGAGGGGACGTGACACGGCCCCCGAGCGGGACAGGCTCTGCCGGGACCTCATCGGGGCACGCCTGCTGTGGGACAGGAGGAAGGGCAGGCAGGAGAGCAAGCATCAAAGACGGGGCTGCAAACCGCCTGGGGAAAAGGGCCAGGCAGCACGGCGAGGGGCAGCACTCCCCGAGCCTCGCTAGAGGGAGAGCTCGGCCCTGGAGCTGCGGCTGCGGGGGAGGAGCGGGGAGCCCGCGGGGCTGGGGCTGCCCCGGGCCGAGGATGCGCCGGCACTCAGAGAGCTGCGTCCCTGCCAGACCGCGGCCGCTGGCGAGTGCTGGAGCGCGGGGCCTGCCAGACGGCTCCGCTGCTGTTCTTTATAAGGTCCCTTTTGTTACTGCAGCGGTCGGGGAGCCGGTGCCCCACCCGGGGCCAGCGCAGGTCTGTCATCTGGCCTGAGCTCCCTGGTGGCACTGGGCAGACTGGTGAGATGGTGCACTGAAGGGCTGTGCCCAGTTTGGGGTGGATTCACGCGGGAGGCTGAGGGTGAGAGCTGAGCAGAGGAAGGAGGGCAATGAGGAAAGCATGGAGATTGGGGAAGGAAGGTATGGGGTGGGCTGGGGATCACAGGAGGGGGATAAGTCTAGAGAACAGAATGAAGAGGTCTCTCCACAAGCACTGGCACAGCAAGAAATGAAGCACAAGCCTGGGGGGGATTTTCCCCAATGTTGAGCCATGAAGACCAGCAGGAGCCAGGACAGAGGACACATCAGCCCTCCATGGCATAGAGGATGGGGGCAATGGATCCCAGGGGTGGCAGTCTGCCTGCAGAGGTATGAGCAGCAGCACATACCTGTGGGATGCAGCCCCATGTGTCAGGTGTTAATTCAAGTTTTCAGATCTGACTCAGAGCCCCTAGGCTGGGCTTGGCCCAAAAGTCTGAGAGACCCAGGTTTTCCTGTGCTGACCCCATGGCATCTGTGTCTCTGAAGGAGAAGATAGCCCTCCACCCAGCAGGTGAGTAACTGGATTTTAAGGCTCTCAACTAGCTCCAGAAATTGTTTGGTGGGTTGCAGTGTCAGCCTCTGTACTCTGCAGGAGCAGTTGACATCTCCAGAGAGGGCTGGTGCTGCAGGGGAGGTTCTGGATGTCTGCAGAGAAACAGGACTGAGGAGGGGCACAGCTGCCCAAAGTTCAGTTCTACCTGGATCTGTCAACAGTAATGCTGGTGGATACTGCTGTGGCTGGGTGATTTGAGGACCATGTTGGACTCAACAGCTGCCAGAAAGCAGCATCAGCCCTGCCTGTGGTTAGAGGCTGGCCTGGCTGACCTTCAAGTGTCCTCCCAGCCCTAACTTCAATTCTGCGAGGAATGAACCAGCCCAGATCTTGGCTGTCATAAATCAAAGTCGCTCCACTGAGACCGATGGAGGGAGCTGCGTTTATTTAGCTCAGCCAAAGATCCGGTCTGGTACATTCTTAGCAGCAACATTAGGCAGGCTGGGTTCACTTGGCGGAGGCATTGGGCAATTAGCCATGCACGTGGGGCTTTGGGAATTGAGAGCAGAGTGCTGCTCTGCCCTGTGCATGTGTCTCTTGTGGGCTCGCACCAGGCTCCTTGCCATGTCCCTTCATGGTGCAAGATGAAACCAGCCTCATGTGGGGAGCAAGAGACATTTGGATAGTGGTTGAAGGTCTTGAGCTTCCTACAGCAGGTGTCTCATCTGGAAATGTGTCAGACAGGACCTGGACAGCCCAGGAGCTCAGCTGAGCACCCCCCAGCTGAAACCGATGGCTACTGGTCTCAGCCTGTTCCCAGGGAGTCTCTTCTCTCCAGCTCCTGGGGACAGATTGTTGGTGCGGGGAGGGTCCCACCATGCAGGTACAGTGTGGGAAGAGTTCTACCATGCAGATGCATCCCTGCTGGCAGCCAGGAGCTCCACATCGAGGAGAGAAGATTTGCTCCTGGTTGCTGGCAGCCACATGGTGCTGCATGAGTTTAGTTGATGGTGTCAAGGTAGAGAGGATATCAGGAGTCCTGCAGTGACACAGTGCATTGCAGCCAGGGAATATGCGGTGATCTGTGCTGCTGGGCTCCGATATGTTGGCCAGAGGAGGAGTATTGGGGTGAGGTGATGATCCAGCTCCAGGAAAGAAAGAAGTGTTTGGCCCTGAAAGGAATATTTGGGCCCTGAAGAAGCCTGGGAGGAGGAGTGTGTGTGGTATGTTGACCCTGAGCAGGACCATGGTCCTGCAGCAGCTCCCCAGGGCTGGAATCACAATGTGGTCTTTCTGCTGAGCCGGTGTGGGAGATGGTCAGTGTAGAGCCTCTGTCCCAGAGCGAGCCCTCATCTGGACCATGTGCCTTCCTTGCAGAGACCCCCAGAAATGCCTCACTGTGGCTGACGCAGGTGCTGGGGACTTGGGCTCTCTAGCAAACACCTCTGAGGTGACAGGGGGACCTGTGCTCATGATGACGTGAGTGGTGGCAGCGGGTAGAGGGATGAGCCAGCACTGGGTCTGCTCGGGCATGACTTATTTCAGGCACACTGAGGATACTTGCGCAATACCAGATTTGATCTTTGTTCCTTAAGTGTGTACCTAATGTAAAAACTATTATCTCAGTGTTTCTTCAAGCCAAACTAAAATGTCACTTTGCAAGAGTACACTAAAAAAACCACCCTGAGACATTAGCTCATTTGCAAGAAAATTAGCATCATCTCAGCTGCCTCAGACGTGGACATGTCTCTTGCTTTGCTCTCCACTTGCTTAAGGATTGGCCTCTTGGTTTTGTGTCTGTTAAGCTGCACATTCTCCAAGCCAGCTGGGGCACTGAGTGGTGACAGACAGGTGCCACAAGAGAGGCACTCTGAGTCTATTGAGGCTGATTGTCCATATTTAACAGCGTGAGAGTGGCTTGAGTGATGGAAGAAAACCTATTTCATGGCATGGTTGGGTTGTGCTACATCCTGAGAGCAAGGTTATGTTTTATGATGTAAAACCCCAAATCAGTATGGGCACTTGGTGAGGGAGGGAACAGCAGATCCTGCTGGTAGAGCTACTTTGAGACCCAAGCCTTGAGATCACTGCGTGCCCATTACAGGAAGCAAGGCAAGAATTGCTGTCACAGGTTGGAAGCCTGCAGGGGCATAAAGGTTTTGAAGGACAAGACAGACTTTGTAAGTGGCCCCATGCCTGGATGCTAAGCACTAGGTAGGAGATAGAAAAACTGAGGACCACAGATTGGGAAGGGAGGTCATGGCGGGGGGAGACTCAGAGCTCTAGGTTTGTCCCTGGGGGCTTCAGAAACCAGCCATGTGAGGGAGGACAACTTTCAGGCAGGACAGGTGGGGTCCAAAAGCATATCAGTAGTTTTAGTGACGGTGGTTGAGAAGAATTAAAAGATCTTCAGAGGGTGACTGAGCAGCCTCTTGCTCTGGAGGTGCAATTGGGGCACCCATCCAGGTCTTACTGTAATCAGCACTGCTGAGCTCAGTGGTGGTCTGAGCAAAGTGCATCTCCCCAAGGACTTGCAGAGCTTGTTGGAGCTCCTTTTGCCAGGGAAGTGCCTGAACTACGGGTTTGAGTGCAGAGCAGCTTCCCCTGCTGCACACTGGCTGGGGGAGCCCCCCAGGACACTGACACACCTGTCAATGGTGCGGAGGCCTCCCCTGGGGCGGGCAGAACTGAGCAGAAGGGAGGCTCGTCCTTCTTGAAACGGAGCCTCAAGGAGACTGGCCTGGGTAATTGGCTCAGGAGAGCAGGCCTCTTAAAACTCAATTAGGGACTTTTAAAAATAAATCAGACTGGAACATTGCAAGGGCTGCCAGAAAATTTGGGCGAGGTCAGAGTTGCTTAACGTTCCTTGTTGATTAGATTCAACCAGCTTTTAGTTGGGATAACTTCTGCACAGCTGAGTCAGATTGCTTCGGGGGCCAAGCCAAGAGTGTCTCCTAACATGGCCATTTAAGGCATGGTGGGCTGAGAGCTGATGGGCAGCCTGGAGAAGACAGTGCACTCCACTGTGAGCTGGGAGGCCAGGGGGGTTTTCCTTCTTCATGCTCTGCCTCAGCTTTGCTGTCTGTGTAGTGCTTTGAAGTGAGTGGGTGGGAAAAGATGAACGAAGAAATTACAGTTGTCTTGTCTCGGGTAGAAACTGCGCTTGAGAGCAGCACGAGGAGTTTGTCCAGATTAAAAAATGAGTGTGGATCTGTAGGACAGCATGTGATGTGCACATGTTTCTGCTCCAAGTCTCCACTACAGCTGAGCTTGGCAGAACCTGAGCCCACACATACAGTTTCACAGGCTGAGTGGGGGACTTTGAAGCAGTTATACTTTCCCTCTACATCCAGTTTGGATGTGGATTTGGGTGCCTTGATCTTGTCATCTGTCAATGGAGCTTATCCATCATCCCACCTCCCCTCCAGCTGCATCCCCAAACCTTCTCTTATCTCCCAGCCCCGATCTTGGAGTGTCTGACCGCTGTTGTTCATCCTGGGTCCCAGCAGTGAGTAGCTAGTCTCCAAAGCAGGGTGAGGAACCTGCATTTCCTGAGAAACTGAACAAGCAGAGGATCTGTAGACAGGCTAACGTGGAGTGCCCTTTCCCATTGCAGTGACCACCCCCAGAGCCAGCTGGTTTCAGATTCGGAGTCGGAGATGGACAGCGTGGAGCATCTGGTCCTGGGCAGCACAGACACCCTTTCCAATGGGCACAAGGCTGACCTGGAGGCCGCCAAACGCCTGGCCAAGAGGCTCTACAACCTGGATGGCTTTAAAAAAGCAGATGTGGCTCGCCACTTGGGGAAGAAGTACGTGTGGGTATTAGCAAGGAACGTTCCATTCTGCAAGAATCTCACCTGCACCTGCAGTGCACCCACAGCTGCTGCCCTTGCTGGGTGCCAGAGTGGCACAGCCCACTCCCCATGACTGCTACATCTGCACCAGGTGTTACCTCTAAAGGTCTTAAAACCTAAGAGACATCCAGATTTTGGTACCTTCCTATCATGACTGCATCTTGGATGCTTCAGTAGGGGGTTGGGGTAGGGGGGTGACTAGCTGACCTCTTGTGGGCTGTTCAAGCTCTAGTTTCTCCATTTTTTCTTCTATGCCCAGTGTTCCCATTGGATTTGTGGGTGACTTCTCTGAGTTTCATGGGAGTGTGGGGTGTGTCTGTCCTCAGCACACCTCCTGTAACCCTGGGGAGTTCCCAGCCTCCTAGAATCCACTCAACTCCTGTGTGCCTTTGGCTGTCCCCGCAGTTGGGCAATCCCACTCTTACCCTCCCCCTTTTCTATTTCAGCAATGAGTTCAGCAGGATGGTGGCAGGGGAATATCTGAAGTTCTTCGTGTTCACAGGGATGAGCCTGGACCAGGCTCTCAGGTCAGAGCTGCGTGTGTGTGTGCGTGTGTGTGTGCATGTTTGTGGTGGCCACTAGAGTGGGGTCCCAACATACTGTGCCCTCTGCAGCTCTGCGACCACACAGAGATCTGCAGGAGAAGGCAGAACCCATGATTTCCTACCTGGAGATCCTCTTACCTCTTAAATAGGAGAGGGTGATTCCCAAGGTGATCTCTCAGCCACACAATCAAGAAAGAGCATCCCTGGTCTTAATTCAATTCTCAGTGCAGTTGGATGACAGTCAGGTTCACCTAGGCCTGGCTTTCCAGGTCTTGAACTCGAATCCTTCTATTGTTACCCCCACCTCCTTTCCCTGTGTAGCTCCTAGGTCTGGCTGTAGGTCTCTGCAATGTACCAGCAGGACATGGTGCTGTGGGCTTGGAGGAGAGTCCCGCAGTGGGTTGGGAGGGAGAGATGTGAAACAGTGGGGCTTCATCCAGCACACAGAGGGGGTCTCCAAACCAGAAAGCACGGCTCCATTCCTGCACAAGGTGGGTTGAAGAAACTGCTGGTGGGCTTCATGTGTGACCAACACTGTTGCTGCTTTTTCAGGTCCTTTCTAAAAGAGCTGGCCTTGATGGGAGAGACGCAAGAGCGAGAGCGAGTGCTGGCTCATTTTTCTCAGCGCTATTATGAGTGTAATCCCAATGCCATCCCTTCAGAAGGTAAGAAACTGTGCATGTCTGTGTGTTTGTGTGTGTGTGTTTCAAGGGAGTCTGTATGTTTGTCAGCTCAGTCAAGGTGCTCAAACTGAAATTAGAAAGCAGACTGAGAGCCTATACTGACACCTCAGAAGATAGCCCTGGTTACGGAGATGTCATTTCCCTCATATGACAGTTGCTTAAATTTTTATTTTTTTAAGCCTGCTTTAGTTGGATGATGCATAATTAGGACTCAACTCATCCTTACTTCTGACCTTGAGCAGATTAGCACAAGAAGCAAGAGATGGCCTTCCTCACCAACTCTCATCTCTCAGACTCTCAGCTCAGGGAATATCCAAGTGAGAAAACCCATGCACCTGATGCTTGGGCAGCACAGACACACACTTTGTACCATTTCACATCTTTGCACCTCTCCTATGTATGTTCACTTGCTGGGTCTGCTCTGGGCTGGCTCTGGGACAAGTGAGGTTTGGGCTGCCTGGCTGGCAGAGGGCTGTGCTGGTCCTATCTTGCCATTCTAGGAGCTCTGCAGGATTAGCTACAACATCACTGCCTGGCTGTAGGGGCTGCAAGGTTGGAAGGGAATTTGTATGCTCAGGTTTGGAGCTAACTTTAATTCAGTGGCCTCCTACCTACTTGCCCTCGTGCTGTCATCACTACACTGACTGCTGTGTGCTCCTTATGCCCAGGGCAGGAGGAGGGGGCTCAGGCCTATTTTGGAGGCTCAGAACCCCCATGCCCTGCCTGAGATGCCAAGGGTCTGGAGCACCAGCTGCAGGGCTGAGCTGGGGGCTCTAATTCCTGTCCTGTGCTTGTGCTGCAGATGGAGCCCACACCCTCACCTGTGCTCTGATGCTGCTAAACACAGATCTGCATGGACATGTAAGTTACCACTACCATTG